CAAGGGGAACGGCTTTGCAGCACTCAGCCAGCTTTCAGAGGTCTTCCTTTATTAACACAAGGAACTTAAAAAATAAAAATAAAAAAAAAATCTTCCCCTTGTGTTAAATACTTAAATGAGACTCCTGAAAATATGGCTTTCACACAAGGTGCTGAACACTTAAAAACCTGGACTGGAGCTTGGAAAATCTGTCCTCATAAAGGTCAGTATTTACATGCAGCCTTTTTGTAAATGGCTTCAGTGGGAAGTGTTGGCAGAGTCCTTCCCATATTAATTGTTAACCTGTTGTCAAGTGTTCTGCAGACCACCCGTTCTGCCTGTGCAGTAGAACAAGGGTGAGTCWTTGCTTGCTGAGATTTGTCCTTACTGATTTCATTTAGCTGATCAAAGAAAAAAAGAAAAGAAAGGAAAAAGAAACCACCTACTGCATCTGTCTTTCTCTTGAGTTCTGAGGCAGGTTACAAAATTGCCTTTGTTGCCCCTATTTCAGTTTTTATTTTCAATAGGCTACTTAATGAGAAAGCTTAACAAGTTCCAAGTATTAGTGGATATGAAGTTTGCTTTCCTTCATTGTTTTCCTGATTGAGCAAAATATTTATGCAGCACCTTCAGGTTGGCAGTAATGTCATGACTCCTTGCTTCAGGTTGGGCGTAGGCCTAAATACCTGAAATATTTTATGCTGATCTGTCTACAGACAGTTAGCAGAGACGAACAAAAAAGTAGGCTTTGGCTTAATCCACTTCATAGCCTGAAGGTTCTTTGCTGTGTTGTTGAGTTGTTTTGTTGAACAAAAATTTCAAATACCTTGGATAGCCAGAGAATCTTAAGCAGACTGAGGAATAGCAGTTAGAATTATGATGTTGATAATGGCATTTTTAGGGGGGAAGAGGAAGTAGAAACGATCAAAAGTAAAACAGGGAAAGGCTGCCCACCACAGCTGTGGTRAAAGGATGTAAACAGCCTGAGGAATATACACACAGGTCCTGGGAATTCTCGTGTTCACAAAACACATCCTGCTTGTGAGCACTTGCGGTCAGAGAGAGGAGTCTTTCATGGCTGTGGCTGCTGAACTGCAGTCTGCATTTGGGCACACTTCTGTTTCAGGGGCCTGCTCTCAGGGAGGTGCTGCTTGTGCAAGGCTGTCTTGGCTGCTGGATCCAGCAGTGGGGTAGTCTTCGAGGAAAGAGAATTATCACGCTGGCCCTTGGCAAGGAGCTGTGTGCAGGCAGAGCCTTCCACGTGTGCCCAGTGTGGTTTTCATCACACAATACAGCTTGTAATTACTGATGACTTTTGGCTGCTGCTGAAAGCCGCTCCCCATCTAAAGCGCAGAAGAGTAAGAAGTCAACCTCGCCCACCTCCGGACTAATGCTGTTAGCACTGCACAGGGGAGGCAGTAAAGTCACTGCCAGAGAGGCTTACACTCCTTGATCATATGCAGCCTTCCAAAATGTAAATTCCTGAGGGATCATCATACAGTTAGCTTGTGTCTGAGTGCACGAGTATTTAATTCATTTTAAAAATTTTTCCATCCCTCTTTCCTTTTTTCTTCCTTAACACATTTCTGATGAGCTTAATTCTGACAGAGTTGGGTGGCCTTTTTTTTTCCTTTCCCCTTCCCTCCTCCAGTAATAAAGGTGGAGCATGGGAAGCAGTGGGATTTCTCATGTCTAACTAGGTTTAGTTTAGTGTTGGGCTTGCTTGCAGTCAGCAGCAATGGTTGTCCCAGCACACTTTGAAATAATCAGAGAAAGAAAAATATCTGGATCAAAATCTATTTTTATTGTAGCTTTTAAAATGAAGCATTAAGGTTAACATTATTTTGTCTTCATCAAGTTGACTAAAACCTTGAAAAGCTTATGTCAGTGGGGAAAAAAAAATAGTAAGACTTAAACACAGGGAGGATCTTTTCTTTCTGAGACCTGCCTCGTGCACTACCTCTTTCTTCATAAATGTATATAGTTCCTCTTTCCAGCCTTCCTCCCATGCCTCTTTCTCCCCAGGGACTCGAATGCTTCTGAAAGCAGAAATGGTGCTTTTAGAAGGTCTGTACAGTGTATATCCAAGAAGATAACTGTTTTTTTACATGAGTACTGGTCCAGACAGTACTGGACCATATAACAATATATCATAATATATAACAATATTACAATAACAATATAGCATATAACAATAAATCATAAATAGCAAAAATTTGAGATGACAGAACTCTTTAAAACTCTCATGCAGGAGAGAAAGGAGAGAGAGTCTAAATGTCACACTCTGTACATTTCTCCATGATTGGCCTCCCAGCGCTAGTGTCTGTTCTTGGAGACGGCAGAGTGGGCACCTGCTGACTTCTGGCACCCCACTATCCTCCAAGAGCCTGGTAAAGGATTGCRGGAGTCTCCTGTTCTGTACATTTCCTACCATGCTCAGCTGCCTGCGAGGAACAGTTACTTCCTTCATTCTTTACTGCCACTGCATCCTATAACGCAGACCAAAGACTTGTACTGTACCAAATCAACAAAGCTGAGGCTCCAGTAGGCATCATGCCCTGTGTTGCACAGTTCTAAGTTTACAAAGCCTTGCACAGTTTTAAAGAAAGGTAAAGCCTGTATTTTAATAGATCAAAACAGTATCATCAGAATGGTTTTGCACACGGGGCAAGCTGGGGAACTCAGCTGTGGAGTTGCTGGGGGATGTGGTTGAGTTGGCTCGTGCTGATAGCTCTGGGTGGCTGACACGGCGAAACACCAAAGCTGCGGGTGGGAAGTCTCGGCGCTGCTGACAGGCTGGCTCTGCAGAGCGTCTTGCGGCAGGATGTGTTTGTGCTCAGGGATGGAATTTGTGTGTATGTGGCACATGGCAGCATTTCTGTTTTGATTAAAATGAATGTGTGGGAAGGTTTTTGTACTTGCAAGCTGAGTTATTATAGTGATTTATAATGTTAGATGTGGGCATCACCTGAGCTGTAAAACTTTTCTCTGGGGAAATAAGAGATAGCAGAGTAAATTAATGCTTTCTGTATAGATTATACAGAATTATGCTCAATTAAAAGGAATGTTTTATTGTATCTTAATCCAAACAATCCAAAGTCTTCAGACCCCAATGGACCACTAGATCTTCAGGATTGAAGAATATTGGCAATGTGGATGGCAGTTACAGTCTAATAGTACTGAAAGCGTTTGGACTTCAGTTATTCAGAAGGAAAGGGCTATGGGAAAGTCTGAGTCCTACAAAGTCAAATAAAAGTGTTTGTGCTTGCTGCAGAGTAGGATTTTTTTACCTTAAAAAAAAATACGCAGATGTTCTTTTTTCAGTGTTTGGAATATTTGCAAGCAGTAGACAGGTCCCTGTGGTCTTAACTACTAACTATYGAAATCATACAGGAGCAGCTTCACCTGTGCAGGGAGCAAAGGGAGTAATGTCGAGTGTTGCTGAACAAATTTTTTGTCCAGAAACTCCTTAGCTGAGTGCATGTCTGGAATGCATCCGTCCTCCCTGTATTGTGCTAGGGTAACTATTTGTTTAAGAAGTTCTCCTTTGTTTACTGCCTTGACTGAAGCTGGTGTTTGCTTTGCAGAGAGCCACAGGTGGATACGGCCTCTCTGTGAGATCTCGGGCATAGTCATGCATGAAGGGGACACACTTTTCAGCAAGCCAACAGCTTAGATCCTCAGGATCTGTTCAGAACATGCAGAGCAGAAGTTCTTATGCCAAACAAACGTTATTTATATGCTTTTGTCTATGCAGACAATCATTTAACCCAACCAGTGAGCCATAGTACAGTTGTTTAATATCAATATTGTGAGAAATAAGCAATTTTTGCTTTGTAATAAGGAGGCATTGAAAAGCAGAATTACAGTTCAAGTAAAACTGAGTTTAATTTGGCTGGCAAGCAGGATGCAGTATTTTCTTTATAAAATGAGAGATTTCCTGTAAGAAAATGAATTACTCTGATCTGTGGAGATAGTTTCCTCTAAGAATTGTCTGTTACTCCTTTGAAATGTGTTTTGTTTTCTGCTTTGTTTTCTTTGAGAAAGGAATTATCAGAGCTGATGTTTTTGTTTTCTCTGTAGATTTTCTCTCCTTGTGAAACATTCTCAAGGGAAAAAACCTTTTTCAGTTATGGCAAGACAAGAAAAACTGCAGCTCGCTTTAAATCCTGAGAGATAAAGCAGGCACTTAAGTCATGAACTCAGGGAAGAGCTCTCTCAAAACTGGAAGAATATAYCTGCTTTACAGCATACAAACTTATAGTCAGAGGAGTGCTGACTGCACACACCACAGAGGAGTGCTGTTACCACCTGTATACAGTTAGGTTAGCAACCCTGTGCCCTGCTGACCCTGCACTGCTTTTGCCTGCTGTAGATGCAGAATAATAGTGCAAAAAGAAGAATGGAAATTAACAGGTGCTAAATCTGTTTTGACATAGATGAGCTGTGAGTTCAAGGTGGCAGGCTTGCAGGCACAATGCATTCAGAAAATAGTGACACAGTCAGAATTTGAAAGTTCACGTAGCACTTGGATATGTCACTGTCTCTGACAAATTTCAGTTGTGTAATAGTGCTGAAAACGAAAATGGCAAGTTTTCCCATAACTTTCTGGAGTTTTGTTGGTTGCATCAACTATAACTTAACAAGACTGCGGGTTAAGTAGGCTTAAATTAGTCTGTTCTAGCTTGGTAAGGTAGCCAGGCATAGCTGGACTAGATGTCCTCTTGGTGAAACTCTGCAGATGAAAGTCCGACCAAGATAAACTCACATTGTTGAATCATGTATGTGTTGATGTATGTGTTTGAGTGTGAAGGTSTCTGTCTTGAGCTAAATGGATGATTTTGGAGGATGGCTTATCTTTTGTTATAAACTTAGTTGAATAGCCAAGACCTTTTGAGGAGTGCAAAGATTAATGAATTAAACAGTTTCCACAGAGAGTTTCTACCTTTGACAAGTAAAATGTGCATAGTTACCTTTCAGCAAACTATGCCTTTGCATTTTTTCAGGGCAGATGTTCATTCCAGGCCAACCACTGTGAAAACTGATGGGTTCTTTGAAGATGAGATTAAGTATTCGAGGTGGTCCAGTATTTTGCTGGAAAAGTAATAGCAAGAACAGTAAGTACTGTTGTTGTTAATATTAAGTATATATGCATTTTTAAGGGGAAAAGAATACTTGATTCTGAGGGAAGGGAGGAAGAAATTATGAAAATGGATGTTTCTGTTTTGTTCCCTTTTCTTCCCCTCAGTCCCTGCCATCTAACCTCTCTTGGAGGAGGTTGGAGTGATAGCACTTTTTCATCTAAAGTTCAGCCCACTGCAATTTCCATATGAAGTGTTGATTTCTTTCTAGAAAGAAAGTGTCACAATTTAGGACACCTCAGGCTTACAGAAGATTGCTGCTTTTTCAAGATCAGAGGAAGGTAAGAACACTAAGTAGCTTAAGTATTTTGACAAATCCTGCTCACATTTGTAAGACTGACATTTAGGATAGATGTTCATTGTCATGCTTTCCTAGGAGTTATGTAGGAAACTTGAGGTGTTTAAGAGAGTTCCCACTAGGCCATGATGGAAATGTGTATTTACCCTTCATGTTTYCCTAGGCAGGACTCAAAATGAAACAGGTGCTGGAGGCAAAACGATTTTACTGAATGAAGAGAGATCATTTTGGGTTCTCTTTGCTTTTCAAAAGCGCTGTCCTGTTGCAGTGTCCCAGGATCTTTCCCAGCAGTTCTTTAAATGTTGTGCATCCCTAGAGCCAGGTGCCTCCTGTCCCTGCGCTTTGCGGCATCGTGCGCAGCAGCCCGAGGGTGGCACCGAGCAGCCCTGCGCAGAGCGCAGCGCGGGGCGCTCACACACGTGCTGCTGCACGCAGTGCTGTGCGTAGCAGGCGCTGCCCGCCTGTCACCGAGGAGGAGCCGCGGCGTAGGCAGGAAGAGCTGTTGGGCTGTGCAGGCTTTGCTCTCCACGATGTAGGATTAGAGTGTGTGTACATACCTCACAGATGTATTTTTAACTAGCTCCTTGGATGTTTCTTCAAACCCTCTTAAAATGCCAGAAGATGGATGCCTGTTGCATAGCAAACAGTCTGGCAGAGTGCTGAGGGTTTACACCTGTGAGGCGGCCTGAAACTCTGCCAGAGGAGCTGGGGCTCCTTGGGCAGCACTCCCGGTGCAGCGAGATTAGAGCCTGGTGCTGCGGGTCCCATGGGTCCCCTTGGGCTCTGGGCAAGCAGCCTGTGAGTGCAGGCAGAGGAGCCTCTTGTGCGCAGGCAGCGGGTGCCGCTCCGCCTGTGCGGGCAGAGGAGGGAGCGGGGCTGGCGTTGGCCTCCGCTCGAGGCGCGGGCGGTTGTCGTCTGTGCTGCCTCCCTTAGCTTGTCCAGAGCGGGCGCGGGTTGGCACCGCTCCTGTTTCCAGTAACTGAGAAAACAAATCAATGGGCCAGAAAGGTAGATAAATAATGGAAATTAACTGGAGAAACAAAATCCCTGCTCTTCCTCTTGGGATGGTGCTGCCTCGTGTTAAATAAAGTAATTTCCTTTTGCTCCATGGGATTAACCAAAAGGTGTTGCWAACTTTGTGTTCGCTTGCTGTTTTCTCCTCCAGCTGTCATTAAGCTTGTTGTTAGAGCGTGCTCTAGCGCATCACCTATTATTTCTGTAAGTTTGATGCGAAAGAAACCTGGTAAATTTGTAATTCTGAATTGCATAAGAACTGAATGGTATTACTAAGTAAAATGATGAAGTTGGAATTCTTGTGCCAGCTGATGAAGAAACAGCATAGCCCCCTTTGAATTCAAACCTTTATTGCAGCTCTGCTGTAGGTTGAGTCATGTAAATGTGTTTCCTATCTCCACTGTAACACTAGGATAGTCCTGCTCTCTCTGGAGAGGATGTTGCTGCCTCTTCCTTTGGCCCAGGCAGCAAAAAAATGGTTTCACTTATAAGACATGGAGAGAAGATTGGAAAATGTAAAAGCAGAGTCCAAAAAGAGCTAGGAGTGAAGATTTTCCACTGTGTTTGTACAGGGGTGCATTCTCTGCATGTAGGGGCAAAAGAAATAAATTGTATTTATGTGACGGATACGCTCCTTTCCCAGCGCAACCTGACCTGTACCTTACATGCAGCCCTGTTCAGTTGCAAACCACCAGCAATTTATCTAATCCTGGTAGGTGCCACCATTCTGATTTCTTCTCYCACTCAGATTCAATGTAACATTCCTGAAGGCTGCATCCCAACGGGGAGATAAGGCTAATACACTAGCCATTGGGCCTCTGAAATGAAAAAATGACTGTAAGTCAATCATCCTATAAATATGCAGACAGCCCAAGAGCCCCTTGAGCTCTCCTGACAGGGCAGCGGGCTGCACAGCAGGCTCTCCCCTTGAGCAGGGACGCCTCTCAAGGATACTCCTCGAGGATGAGAGATGTCTTTCCACAATAGATTTGTGGTAAGTGAATATAGCATGCTCTGTTTCTTTAACTTTACTTTGTAACTGTGCACAGAAACCCTTAGTCGTAAACCRTTGACCAGATCGGGACAAGGATTGGATCCAGCCGCACCCAGACTCCCCTCAGAAGGAGCCTGGAAAGCAAGGGGGGTCCAGTCTGAACCTCGTGACCCAACGGGAGGGTATCCCAAACCAAAATAGTGCATTATCTTGAGTCTCCATGCAGTAAGAAGCAGCCTTGCCATAGAACCTTGTAAAATCATTGTCCACATTAATAAATCTTATTATTATCTTTCATACGAGTGAAGTGCATTTTGTCACTCACCCTTGCYACCACTTGTTCCATGACAATTTACAAACAGAAAATGCAGTGGGCCTGAGGTTGTTTGCTGTGGAGTTTTATTTGGGTTTCTTTAGACGATTAAATCAAAGGAAAGAGATATTTTTCCAGTATTTTAATCCTTGTTTATTTTTATAAAATCTTACAATGGTAGTGGTTTGTATTTTAAATCAGTGTCCAAATGCAGAGGAGGGAACTCCCAACTATTCTAATAATATTCTGTATCAGGTCCGCAAACCTAATGCAGGTACTGTTTTACTTTTCTGTGGACTTTCCTAGTAATTTAAATAAGTAACTAAGTCACAAACTCAAATTTGTCATCTCTCCACATGAAATAGCATGATTGCTGGAATGACTCATGTTTCTGCTCTCTGGTTATTTTAACCAAGTGATGCTATCTTTTTTTCAGGTACAAAAAATATGTCACTACTATATGATTGGGCAGCAATTCTTCTATGTTTTTGCTTGTTGAAACGCTGGCAASAGGTACAAGGGTGGCTTTTTGTTTGCTTTTAGTGATCAGAAAATCCAAGTTGYAACTTAGAGGATTTGAATTCATTTCCAAAAAGTGATAGATTCCTAGTGCAGAAACTGAGGGGTGCTTCTTTGCCAGGTCATCCAGGGAAAGCAAGTAGAAGAGTAAAGATGTGTGTATATACGGTTTTGTGAGGTGTTTTATTTGGTTGGTTTTCTTGGGTTTTTTTTTTTTTTTTTCAGTGTTGCATGCTTGAAGAGTGGGACCTCTTAGTTCCTAGGCTTAAATAAATAAATCCTATTTGCTTAGTTGTTTTATCTCAAGGAACAAATTGGCCTTTGGTGCCAGAGAAAACAGTTTCTGGGTTCAGCAGGTGCTGACAGAGGCAGCAAAACTTTGTTACTGTGTGGGCAGGGTCTGGCAGATACTGCCGGGTGCCGCATTTTGCACCCAGTGTGAATCTGCTCCACAAATGGGGCCTAACCCTGGAAACGCGTGGCTGRGCAGCCCTGGCTGTGGGAGCCTGCAGAGCTGCCTCACATCAGGAGCGGCACCGCGGTCGCTGGGCGAGGTGGGGAACACGCAGCCCTAGGGGATCGGGGGGCAGACCTGGGGACTGCCAGGGGTCCAGCGCCCCGACACGGTGATGTGAGCGAGGCTCCAGGAGCTCCTTCTCTGTGGGGTTTGCCCCATGTCAGTGTGGGTGAAGCGTGCTGTGTGAAGGACTTCAGGTGTTGATAGCGCTTGTCTAATGGCATATGCGGCTTTGCAGACTTGCAGAGGAGTGTGGGTAGGAGCTAGTGCTGACAGCTTGTACCTAGGTTAAAGAAAAAAAAAGGGTTTTTTTGAAAAGCTTGTAACACAAAGCCAGGCTCGTTAGAATATATAGGGTATCAGTGTGAGGCATTTTKCATGTTTTGTGTGGGGAACAAAAAAGGAATTGTCTATTTACAGGTGCAGCAGCCTGATTTTAAATAAYGGTTGTTACTCTGAGCAATAAATCTGTTGACATTTGTTTTGAAACACTGCTTGGGATCTCTGCTCCTGGAGCACATGCGGAGCTCCTCTTTCTCCCCAGTCAGGCAAGTTTCTCCRAGCAGCAGAGGAATCATTTAAATCCATCAGGACCAAGGAGTAACTACGACCTGCTCTTGCACTGCTGATGTTGATGGAGGCGGATATGTCAGGATGGGGGCTGCTGAGCCCAGCGGTGGCCGTGACCAGCCAGCGGTGTTGCTGGTCCCTGCTCCTGGGAGCTACAAGCAAGGTAAACATGTATGTGAGACCCCCTTCCCCCATAAGCAAGGCTGAAGGATAGAGGCTTTGTATCTCTCATGCTGCTGCTTTATAACCAGCTGCTTTGGGCAGGTAATTAACCACATGTCTGTGAGTGTCTGTGCAGGCAACCGGCACAGTATAAGATTGACCCAGGTCTCATATCTGCCACGTGCATGAATTTATCCTCTTTCCTTACAGCAGAGCGACTGAGCAAACTCCTGTCAACGCCTTGAACATGGCCAGGGATAGTGCCAGGCAGCTTTGTCCTTGCCTGCAAGGCAGGACCCAGGGGATGGTATCTGCTGCAGCTGCCATGCTTCAGCTCGGCACAGCTCCTCACGGGTAGGTGAGTGCTGAAGTGATTTGCTACAGAGCACATTTTGAAGATAAAATATGAGGGTGGGGGCTCCAGAGTGGGTTAAGTGGGCTGTGCTACCTGTCCCGTGAGGGAATTGCTGCCTGGTGGCAGTGTGGACACAGCTGCTGTTCTGAGTGTTTTTGATGGTGTACTTTGGGGCAGGGGGGAGAATTACATTGCATGCTGCAAGATTAACTTGCATTTACTGCTGGTGACTCAGTGTGTTTCAGAAATGCTGTGTTATCAGGCTGTCCTGGAGAGCCTGCTCAGTGTAAAATTCATCCATCGAAGTCATTCAGGGTATTTCAGAGCCTGAAATAGAATCCAGTTGTGCTTCAGTCCCAAAGTGGGAAGTGCAGCTGTGGATGGGATTTGATTGCCGTCTCCATTTGCACCTTCTGTGGTCTAGCCTGACATTGGTTTATCAATTCCTGCAGAAACTTGAGGACCTCATGGCCTCTCATTTGACAGGCTGCTGGGGCACTGAGGGAACAGAGCTCCATTTTTCCTAAATACCATGCATTCATAAGCTTGGTGCCCTAGCTGGGCCTCTGCTGTTACATTAGTGGTGTCTTGGGAGAAAAATGAAAAAAAAACATAAGCTCCGAGGAACAGCCCAGTGAGCATTTGGATTATTTGCTAGGAAAAGAAAGTCCTGATATGAGTAAAGTTATATGGACTGTCTATCTAAAGCTTAAGAGTTGAGATCCCAAAAACTAAACAATGCCTCCCTCTTCTCCCCCCCCCCCCTCCCGCCAAAAAAAATTTGCTAAAGTCAGGAAGCAGCAGTTGAACTTGGAAGAGGTCATGAAAGTAAGCAAGGAAGCTCAGTAAGAGCAAATCTAGGCTGAGATTTAATTCATTTTTGAACTTGATATCCTGAAAGCCGCCACAGTGATGATACCTGGACTCTGCAAGTAGGAAGGGGGCTCATGTTTCTTGCCTTTATGGCCTCTGGAGCCCCTCRGTCAGTGTCCCCTCATACAAGTGCTGTGTAAGAAGTACCAGAACGTATTTTCTTACCTGAGGGTTTCACCATTTGCTACTGCTGGCAGCGCTGGGAATGCACTAATTTTCAAAGTGTACGAGAGTTGGGTTCTGTTTGTTTTTAAATGTTCTTTCATACCACACCCAGAACTTATCACTAAAACATCTGGGTTTTTTGTTTGTTTAAACACTGAGGCCTAGTACATCTCAAATTTTTGGTGCTGTGGAAAAACTGAAGTGATGAAGCCTTGTGGGGGGGTTCTACAGGACACTGGGATKAATAAGTTCTAGAGAGTGTCTGTTTTACAACCAGGAAAACGTCAACTTTTTTATATATCTCTATATATTCACAAATTTAACACAACATTTATATAACGCAATATATTTTGGATATAAATATCCCTATATAAATATTTTTATATAATTAGAAATGAAACATAGCATTTAAGTGGATCTCAGTTGAAAAACAGTGTGTCTTACTAGCGTAAAAAGAATTGAAGATGTAAAGACAGATAAGGTTTAGCTTGTTGAGTAGTATTTTTAATGCAGCATGACCAGTTTTGGAGGAGCCTTGCTGGGAGGAAGAACAAGCAGTATGGGGCATTACAGAGGGTGCTGGTGCTTGGATACCAGCACCCTGACCATGGTCAGTGCAGTGCGATGGCAGGAGCTGTAGTCTACAAGACTATTTTCAGCCTGGAGAAAATGATTTAAGGCCCTGTCTAATGGCCCTGCTGTTTAACACTCTATGTTAGCTAGATCTCAGGCTGTATCCTGATCTCTGCCATTACAGCCCAGCAAGGCGGAGGAGGGAAGGTGACACCAGGCTGCCACAGCCCAGGTGACTGGGAGGTAGGCAGCTGCTTAGCACTGTAACAGCCAGCTCTTTGGGAGCAGGACTTCAGTTATTTATAATGGTTTATGAAGGTACCAGTTTGGCTGCATATGTTACCCAATTCCATCCCATGCAGAGGGGGAAGGTAATTAGGGTATCCTACATGAGTACACAGACCCCCAAACACTCCTGATGGCACCTGCCTGAGTGTTTCATTACAGTATTTACCACCTGTATTCATTCAGACTTACAAATGGCTGGAAACCCCAGCCTTGCTCAGGCAGACGTCTGCCTTTATGAGGGAGTCTAAATCTCAAAGAGCCATAGCTGGTCAAAGAGCGTTCCTCAGCCATTTCATGTGATGGCAGATGCTGTGGAACACAATTTGTCCAGGTCAGCAGCATGTGCAACTGTAGAAGCTACTCTTCCTTCCAAAACAGGTATTTTAAATCTCTGAAACACTTCAATTACCATTAAAAATGTATTTAAAAAAATAGGTTGAAAACTGKCACTCTTCTTTTTGAAAAATCTAATAGTCTTATGATAGTGAAATCTACTTTTATTTTTAAATTTGCTAAGAGTTCAGTACTTAGTTATTGGTTGAAATATGCTATTTGGTTTTCTTACAATACAAACAAGACTTTTGATGCAGAAAAGAAAACAGGATTCCAATTAGTAGGAAGTAACAGCTGCCTTTACTGATTACTTTAAAATAACAAGGCATTTCAAATATTCACAAATATTTCTGACATATTGCAAAACAACGTAAAATAAAAACAGCACACTCRATCACATGGAAAGCAAAATAGTTTTAAAAAGAATTTACAAAGGAACTATTTCTTCTACTTCAAAAAGTTTGTCAATGCACTTTTACTGAGAAATATATCTGTTTGCTGTACATACTGTGCTTATGCTGTCCTGGAGGACCAAAATTCTTAAAGCAATACTTTTTCAGAAACAGCTTTTTGGATTAAGAAATCCAATGRCCTGGCAGTTTTATTGCTGGGTATTTTGTGTAAGGCCTAATGTTTTCCTTTTTTTTTTTGAGTTTTATAACAGGAACTGACAAATATTTTTACATGCATGTTTTAAAAAGATCTGAGTTTTTTTTCYCACATGCATTTTTGATGCTTCAGTGCTATGCCGTTAAACAATTTATCAATCCCTGTCCTTTAACATACAATTACTTCTTCAAATAWTACCCCAGGGAGCTGCACATGACATGCAAGATCCATAACTAAAAAGTTACAATAGCTCAAAATTTAGCTAAATATTTAATCCAGCCAGAGCTATTTGTTTTATTTTTGGAGCACGTTTACTGTATGCAGAGCAGCAGGCTCAGTCACACAAGGCGCAGCGGCACATGGAGCTTCTCYGGCTACTCGGCTTCCACATGCCAGGCTGCCACGCTGGCTGCAGGGCCCATGCAGCCTTGTGCAGGTGAGGGTTTGCTTCTTGTGTCCCCCACACACTCCAACGTGGAAAAACTGCATCTGCATTTTGTGCAAAAGGGAACGGTCAGGAAATGTTTCTCCATGAGCACCATGTAGTGACTTTGGTAACTGGTCTATTGGCACAACCAGTGGGATCAGAGAGGAGGAGCAGCTCTCCATTTGTAAATAAGAACACACAGCTGCTGTTTACCTTGCAACTACTCTGTAATTAGTAAAAACATAAATATGTTAATAACCATACACATATACACAAAACACAGCAGGAGTGATATTACAGGATGCAGTTCCTATTCTACATAACTGCTTTTGTTGATACAGATACAATCCCAAAATCAATTGCTGTTTGATACACAGCAAACCCTTCTTTAAAGGTCAGTGATAGGAAGATGGCCCAAAACTCAAGCCTAGACTGCATGAAGCTGTGAGGTCAAACCCCCTGTCTATCAGCATAATCAACAGAACTATTGCAGTACAGAAGATGTTACTAATATTAAAGCTTTATAAACTGGATATTTATTTCATCAACATTTGGCATTAATTACTAATTTTCCCTCTTCCACAAGTGCTTCTTGATATGAACACTCATCAGGTGTTACAGGGAATAATGTTATTAATTATAAAAGTTGATTAGGGAAAAGACTATTAGAAACACCTGACACAGGTTGGAGTTCCTGAATCCCAATTGGTGCTCTTTGTTATTTTCAGTGCAGATTTGCTGGGGTTGCACTTATCAACAAATTGCCATTCTCCACATGGGTTGCTTTCATGCAGTTCTGTTTTGAAGCTTGTCGGGAAGAGGATGAGAAGGGCAGGAGGAGATGACTTGTGCCCAGCCACTGTCTTTGCTAGTGTTGGGCAGAGCAGCGTCCTCTCCTCAGGATGACATCATCTAGTCCAATATCCCCAGTTCTTCCTTTCTCTTTCTCTCCCTTGAAAACAATCTGGAAAAAGTGTGAGACAAGTTGGAGTGCAAAAATAGAGTGAAAGAATCTTTGGTTGGGAAGGTCTTGTAGAAAGAAAGCAAAAATAAGCAAGAATGCGTAATCTTAACTGACTCTCAGAAGGCTGCTTTTGTGCTGCTCAGAATTAATGCTGCTGTTTTATTTGCTCTCCTCCTCATCATCTCCCTTTTTCACTTTGGCAGGATTTAGTGAAGAGGCAGCAGCTCACAACTAAGCTACAGCAAGTGGAGGTGCTCATGGCAGCCTTGCTGGCCTGGCAGAGATGCTGGGAAATGAACTTCCACATGGTGCAGTCTCTGCTGCTGGAGGAACTTTCTGCATCTCACCTCTGTACTGTTCTCATTGATCCTCACTGCAAACGCACAAAACGCTCCGTATTMTGCAGAGTGTTTTCTTACAGAGGAGTTTTACACCTCACAGCTGGCTGAAGGCCAGACATAGCTGCGGGAACAAGACAGACTCATATCCTTTATTTAAGAGATTCTCTCTCCTTGCAAAACAGATTTAAGCACATAATTAACAGCCAGACTCAGYCTGAGAAAAATGAACAAATTGGAAGCTTGACTAAGAGGTGTGGCATAAATCATGCAAGGAAGGACACACACCCACACAGTGGTGAGCAGACTTCTTAAAGAAAACATTCTCATAAATTCATACTGTTCCCTATCCTGTTGCTGCATAGTCACAAACCTGAGCTGTTTTAAGAGGCAGTCATTGTTTTTGAGCAACTTTCAAAGTAGGGACAAAGTATACAGCAAGAATTCATAGCAGTCTGCTGTTGTCATTGAGCTAAAAAGAGTTAACAATCAGTAATACAGCTGTATAAKTATTTTGGATTGTTGAGAGCAGATTGCTGATTTAAATGTGAACTAGATAAAGAGGTAACAGAAATGCTATGCTGAATATACTGAAACAGGTTTTAGAAATATGATTTTAGTTCTGCTCTGTGACTAGTTTATGCAGAGCTAGTTCTTTATGAAGTGTGATAAAGGATTCTGCCCTCCATTCAAACACTAAGGTTTCTACTAGGTCTCCAAAATTGCTATTGTTTAATTGATTTAGCTTTCCTTTATCTAGGAAATTAAATCTCCTTTGTCACACTGATTCCTCTATGACATGTCTGTCCCAAACTGTTTAGGTCAGTACACCAGGATTCCCAAACCAGGTGGGAAAAAAAATGCCAAACTCAAGTGCTAAGTTCAGAGCAAAATACCTAGCTGACTAGGTATTAACTTCCTGAGTCTCAGTGTATTACCTTCCTTTACCTGACAGCACATTGTCTCTGTTTCATCAGTCTCCTTGCTGATAGCTTTCTGAAAGCTAGCTCAGCAGTAATAATCTATTGGCAGTAATTCCTGCGTTCTCACATACTCAGTATTAATTATYGAAGGCCTCACAATATTGCACGTGTCTGGTTCTCTCCATGAACATGACCAGTGTGAGACCAGCTGATAAGAGTCAGTTTAAAACTACCAGATGTCCAAACATGTTCTATGATGCTGCAGACCACTCAACAGTTTTGTGCTTTTGGCATCAGTCACCTCCCTGACCAGCTCATCTGTGGCTGCACAGCACAAACAGCAGACTGCCCTAGAACCCACAATAAGTTATCAAAAATGAACAACTTCAGCACCCTTGTTGTTTTAACTAACTATTCTCATTCACACATTCACCTTTTTTTAAGCATTCTTCCTGTGGGATGATGCTACCAGCCCTTCTGAAATGCAGGCAGTGTGTGCCATTGTCCATGAGACTGTTCTTTCCTTAGGTGCTGACTCAGCTGGTATGAGGTAGAGGCTGCCTTGCACTTTGCCATGCATGTGATGTGTGGAGGAGGTTTAGTTTCATATTTTTAATGTAAGTTTAGAAGTAAACTACAGGCTGATCTTGGACCTAGGGAGCAAATAACYCAGTGCTGTGTCATCCCGCTGTTCAATTCCTCACACCCAGAGTGTTTATGGAATACTCACACTCTTGCTGCCTGAGCCATGCAGCGTTAGGTGCGTCTCTCTCCAGCCATGGCCGCCCTTCCTTCCCCAGAGCGCYGGCCCGTGGGCACCGCTCTTCCTCAGGAAGACGTGCAGGGCCCCGGAGTGCAGCCCTGGCACCTTGTGCCTGAATGACAGGCACAAGTCCCCAGCCTGAGCCGTGTGGCCTAGCGGCAGGACAAGATGGGCTGCACCTCTGACGTGGCCTTTTGGCTCCAACACCGTAAGGTACCGTCCCCCTGCAACAGAAAGAAGATGCTAGATTCTTAGATACTGGTATTGCATTGCAGGTCTAAATGTACAACAGGGGTATTTTTAAAAGAGGAAAAAGAAAGCAGGGGGGGGGGGGGAGAAAGGGTCTCCAGGGCAGATTTTATAGCATTGGTCTTSTGTTCTTTGTGCTGGTACTAGGTTAGCTGTTTCCTATTTTTTTTTCTACAAAGCAACTCTATCTTTTGAAAGTATGTATATTCCTTCACGTCTGTCAACTGTACTACAGCCACATGATTTGAAACCCACAGTGACATTGAAGTATTATGTTCACTCAAACATTCTGTGTGCAGCTCASTAAGGTTCCAAATCTGCATGTGGGCCCCAAGTGGCAACCATTTGTCCAGTTAAGGGTGTTAGCTTTTACATTGAGATGAGTAACTGGTAAGGAACAGCACCTGTTTGGTGTGGATACAGCTATATCAGCATAAGGTAAAGACATTGACTGCATGTGTGTCAGGTAGTTGGAGAAGCTGAATTCAATCACCAGGYGGCAGGTTTTGCTGAGCACAAAGCAGCAGCTGGAGTGATGCCCCTGTGGGAGGACGTCCCCAAGGAGCAGCTCTCCCTGCATGCAAGATAAGCTTGTAGGGCTTCAGCAGGGCACGTTTCAAAATACAGCGTCTGATAAACTAATAAATACTGAACTTAAGAGCGCAAACACTCAGGGCCAAGCTGGGAAAATAAATATATGAAACAAGGTATCTAAGCAAGAGGGAGCAGGGCTGGAGATCTTAAGGGACTAGTTTTTAACAGGTTATGTCAACAGCATAAGGGAAACAAAAGCTGAGATTGTCCCTGACTGGAAAGCAATGAAGGGAGAGGAAAGTTCTTTAAAAAGTAAATAAAATAATGCAGCCAGTTAAAAAGGCTAAATCTGTAACCTGATACAGCATAACAACAAGCTAGAGTACAGATTAGTAATATGCTTTGAATAATTTACTACCACCGAAAGAAAGTTTTTGCTTAGGCAAATTTACCAGTGAAATAAAAGTAAGAGAATTATCTGTTCCTAAAAGAAATTTTTTAACTTGTTGCAATAATCATGTGTGAGGTAGTGCAGTGGTCTTTTTCAAACTGCCAGTCCCAGAGCAGAACCAAGACAGAGACCAAGAACGTTGTATTTGGCAACAGAACAAAACTATTTTCAGATCTGCCTGTAATTGTACTAGTAATACAGAAATAGTTTTTGCATGGTGGCTTCAAAAACAAGCTTTGCTTCTCCATAAAAGTTGTTCTCTAGTCCATATTTTTGTTCTGATTCTTTTAAGACAAATAGTCTTTTACTCAATGCACTTTTACTCTCTCCTTCAGAGATATTCCTAATATAAAGATATTTGAGAACACAGAAGCAGCATGGGTATGAGACAAATGCCCAAATTAAAGGGAAAGCAGCCTCTAAATTTATCACCATGTAAGAACTTGTCATCAGCATCCATAGGACCAAGATGAGGTGGGTCTTCTGCCATCCAACACAGCTGTTGGTGTGTGCCTTACCTGATGGATCTCCAACTGGTTCCCAGTGCACCTCCTCATCCTTGTCTGTGATCCAGCCACAGAGTCCACTGTCAAAATTGCAGCTGTGCACCAGCACCCCTAGGCAGAACAAGGGTAACAATTAAAAACCTGAAAACTAAACAAGCCTGATACTTTGCTTGGGGAACTACAGCAGCATCCCCTGGCTGACACTGACAAACAAATGTGAATATGAAAATAAAATGCAGCACRAGCACTAGAAAGAGAATCTACAGAACTACTCAAGCAATAATGGGGATGCTATAATAATTATTTACAATTCAGACCATTAATTTTGTGATATATTTGAAAAGCAACTATAGAGGCTTAGGTTTGCAAAGCACAGTTTAAACAGGCCTAAGATGCAGGAGCCCTGTAAAAATATACAAATAAACAAGAACTCTCCAAAAACACAGTGGAGCTGGGGAAAGGCTGTGCTCTTTACCTGGGTCATCGTTTGCTTCAAACTCATCAGCAGTAATCCCTCTTTCAATTTCAAGTATTTCAAACAGATTATTGCTCACTCCCGGCTGGCGCGGAACTGGGAAGGAATAAAAATGAATTAGATACAGGTAGTTAGTGACCTACTTCCTTATCTTTAATTAAAAAAAAAAAGCATGGCTGCCCCTGGACACTGTGCTTATCTTAGAAAATTCCATATATTTATATTTCATATGAAGATTCGTAAGCTTTATGCCTAGGTGATTTAGCTTGTAACATTTATCTATGAAAGGAGATTCCAAATTTGCTAAAGGCTTTTCAAATGAAAATTGCCTTATTTTAAACCAAGAAAAAATAACCTTTCAAGCACAGTATTGCTCTTCAAACACACTGTAAATTATAGTCATTTTGCAATAAAACAAATCCTCAAAGATTCACTCACCTTCCACAGATGTTTATAGAATTTCAGACTGCTGCTTGGAGAACATGCCATGTGAAGGACTGGGATCCCCTATGCTTGAAACATGGCTAAAGCTACATCCTTCTACCTGCCAAGGACTAGAATGGGTGCAGCAGAAGCTGGAATTAACTTCAGCTCTCCCACAAGAAGAGGGAGAGCTGGCTGCAAAGTGCCCTGGCAGCAGTGATGCTCAGCTCCTCCCGAGGGACCAAGGTGTCCCTATGGTCTCCCATAGAGCCAGGCCTGCACCCTAACCAGCAGCAACATGTTTCAGACAAGCCCTTAGATGTCAGATCCCTCTTACACCTGTGGTATGTGTGAGGGCCTTATCTGTTAAAAAAGCAGTTGCCATTTAGCACTAAAATAAATATTTAAATATAGGCTTCTTTAGGCAAGTGACATGCTAATGTAACCTAAAATAAAGGACTTTAAATCAACACATGTTTGGGGTCAGTCTTTTTGCACTAAGAGCAATAATGTAAATAATATAGTTAAAATAATTCTTCTAAAGCCACAGGTTATAGGAAAGTACATTAAATTATAATGAAGTAAACTTTCTGTAGTTGGAATTAGTCAAAACCATTTTTAAATACATGGTCAACTAAATCCAGCTGTTTATCAGGTTACAGATCTTGAAGCCTGTAGAAAAATGATGTATGCCTTAGTAATAGCCCACCACAGCKGAAAGCAGCCATACACACGTGACAGCCTCCTCTCCTAGCTATCTAGATCCTACCTGACTCTCCATTTACAGGACAAAATGCAGGAACTATTAGCAAGTTATTTTCCACACCATTTCAGTAAGAATCCAGTTGTCTGCATCTGCATACAGACAAGCCATTTCAAATTTTAGACCCTTTAATTTGAAGTTCTACAAAAATGTTTCTTCGGAACTTTTTCTCCAAAGCCCTCTCCAAGCACCATTAATATAAGCTGTTACAAGAACACACTGTAATGCTTTAAAATAGCCTGCTTAGCTCAGGCCTAATGAGAGACAGGGACACTCACATCCAGCTACAAGAGATGTGGGCATCCAGATGTGATCCAGTGGTCATCTTATTAAAACAAGTGACACATTTGTTGAGTGGAGATGATGGGAGAAAGTATTTGGCGCAGTTATTTTCAGCCATCTTTCCAAGACCTTTCTGTGCACTTTGAAAAGCACACTGATATGCTATATAAAGTTTGTTAAATATAAACTTGGCTTTTCTGAAAGAATTTCATAAGCTGTGCATGAGCCAGTGCATTAATGCTAAAACAGCCAAGTTCTTCATGAGCCTGGGGCAGGGAGGGACATTAACAGCTGTGCAAGACTAATGCCATTTTGGCCTTTTCTTGGGAAATTTGGGAGCAAAAGAGAGACAATAAGTCTATATGGGCAAGTGTTTAACTGCGGCATTACCACTGTCTTGCTGTTAGGAAACCAAACCATGACATTGGAGGGCAGCTTCATGCAATTAATAATGCAGTGTGTATGCTGCACTACAAGAAACCTTGCTGTCTTAAGCAATTCCATGCCCCAGAATATTCCCACATGAGCTTCCAATTTCTGGTTAAAAAAAAAAGAACAAGAAACTTTTTTGACTGAGAGTTGATTGAAAAGTTGCTAAAAATAAACTAGTTATAATAATAAGTAAATAAAGATTAAAAAAAAAAAAAAAAAAAAAAAAAAAAAAAAAAAAAAAAAAAAAAAAAAAAAAAAAAAACACACACCCCACTACTCCCAAACCCTCAGAAGCAACAAGATCTCCTGCACAACTTGCAGGTGAGCAGTCAGCCCAGTTCCCTGTCCTGGATAAAAGAGGGGTAGCAACAAGGTGCCCTTTTCTCAGAGTGCCACCAGCTACTGCAAAAATTAATTGAGGAGTAGCAGCCATGGACTTTCCCCTGCCTCTTTGGTTCCAGCTGCATGCCAGGGGAAGTTACAGTGCTGGCACAGGACTGCTTTAACAGTCCAGTGGTGCATTTTCCAGCCAGTTACAAAGCTCATTAACTTTGACCTAAGTCTAACCTTTTATTACATACATTTCCAAAACATAATTTTTTAAGTAACATGCCCACCTTTCTGGGAGCAGCTTTTCAGGGGGAGCATGACATTTTGGTTTCAGTGAAACAGCTGCAGTAAGTACTTTACAGCAGTCTAAAATCAGATCTCGGAATAACTGGAAGATTTGATTTATGAGAGTCCTAGATCCTGTGATTTAGCTTCAGAGGACAAAACAGAACAAGATGCCTGTCTCAAATTTTTTAAATATTTAAGTCAAATTCATTTTAATAAGTATGAGAGCAAAGACTACCATTAAATGCTACTGGAAACACTTCTATTCTCATAGCATGAAAAATGAGCAATTACATTCTTTGCTTTTAGTCCTTCGGGACTTTCAAGGCTCACATCTCTCCTTTGACTACACTAAGGACTTTTCAGTCATTGCAAGGGGAGCAAAAGGGATCACAGTTTAATCCTTAGATTTTTATTAACAGCTGATAGGAAACTCCCAAGTGCAATCTTTGTTCAGCAATTGTCCTTCTTAGCTCTTAGTGGGGCCATGATGTTTTAATATGAGGAGGGCTGGATGGGTTGTTTTGCTGGTACCCAGCACTACTCTGTGCACTTAACCCAGGCTACTCAGGCGCGGATGGTGGCAGACGTGCAGAGTCCTGCAGTACAGTGCATCTGCAAGGAGACCTCATCTGTCCTCTGAAACGAAAGAGCTTCCTCTGCACTTCACTGCAGCTTGCATCAGTCCCCACATAGTTAAATATTAAGCCATTGCTGCATTCCTCCCCTGCATCCATATCAGGAGAAGATTATCCTTGGTGCCAGATTCCACTGTCTGCAGCTGACTAAGYGGTTCAAAGGGCAAGGAGAAGAATGCCATTTTTAAAAGTATTAATTTTCTGTTGCCCAGAAAAGCCGCTTCTCAAAGTTATTACAGCAATTTTAAAAGAAGGGGGTAAAGTACTAGTACAAGCTCAACCATGTAATACCCATCAGAGATTCCATGGTTATTTAAACAACAATTTCAGCAGAGCACTTTGCGGAGCTGCCTATGCCTGCAGTGCCTGCTGAAGCCACCAACAACTGCTGCACAGGACAGCCATGTGCACCTGCCTCTGCTCAAGGAATTCTTGGAAGCCGGGCACAGATATCCCGACCTCCGCAGACAGCAAAGGACCTCATTGCACACTCTATAGTGATACCTTTCTTTCATTGGTGTGCAGGCAACAAAAACTCACAAGCAGAAAACAAAAAACACTTTTATACTTTCCTGTTTTCCCAACCCTCAGCTGTACAGCTCTACCCTATGACCTTTCATTTAGAGAAAGGTCCAAAAAAATGAGAACAGTCCAGCACACACTTTCACCTCACTGAATTTACAATCCTGATAAATACAAGAACATGTACATTTACTTACTGAACACATCTCCTCGAGGTTTCTGCGGATCTACCTGGATCCTGTTGTCAAGCGTAGTTCCTTGGGAAGATGTAGTTTCAAATGGAACATGGGAAGGATATCCAGTTGTCATCACAGGAGTCCTCCGTGGCAGCAGCAGCGTAGGCCTTAATGTCGGAGATGGAGGCAGCGTTGGAGGCGGAGGCCTCGTCACTGGCCTTGTCGTCACAGGGATGTACCTGGTGCTTGGCCKGGGCGTAGGTCGAGTTGTTGGCTGGACTGTTGGACGACTTGTTGGCCTGGCCGCTGGCCTTTCTGTAACAACAGCAGGTACATACGGTGGTCTGAGGGGTTGACTTGTGCCTCCACCATCAGGAATCCTATTGGTTATGCTACTGCCTCCTTTGGCAAGTGTGCTGTTGCCCTTGAGCATATGATATGGACCAGGTGGTTCAATCATAACATTGGGAATAACTGCAAAGAGAATCAAAAKGGAGCAAAACGGATGCTTGAGTCCTTTGCTCCAGAAACATAACAGTATCTTTCATTAGTAGATGGAGAGAATTTGATGTTTTCTTTTGTTCTGTGTGTTTCTACTTCAGCATCAACACCACTGACTCATCACATGCCTTCAGGGAGTGTTCCTCTGCACTATATTTTAGAGGCAATTTAGAAGACTGAAGGCACCCAGCACCTTCCAGTCCTGCCCTCCTCCCAGGTGCCAATTCACATTCATAGGTGACAAAACTGTCCCAGAAGAGTGTTAGTAAAAAACAGTCAGAAAGGGGTATCTTGAGGAGAGCTCTGTAGCTGGAGAGGTTCATACTCAGGAACAGTGCTAAATGCAGCAAGAGTCTACTGTTCTGTTTTGTTCATGACTAATAAAATATTTCAGACGTCTCCCCTTCTTCTAAACACTTCACCTTATCGATAAGCATTAATCTTTTTACAGAGATTGAACCTAAGCCAACTAGCTCTCATTTAGATCTATATCTTTGCTAAACACCAGGAAAATAAGTAGTATTTTTAGTCTTCCCAAAAAGGAGAAGGTGAACTAAGCACTGCCTAAATTACTGACACATATTCCAAACTGCCTACAATACCAATTCCCCAATATTGGCATCAAGAAAAGATGACACATTTTAATTGCCATTCACAAAGGGAGTTTCTGCAGACATGAAATGCAAGAACATGTGTTTTGTTGTTTACAATTTACTGTTTGTTAATAAACCTTTTTATCTTATTGAGGTCTTAAAAAGCTCCAACACAAGCTTAGTCGCATAGTTTATATACAAGTGTTTCAAGCAGAACCCAGTTAAAATGAAGATCTACTGTTTGGTAAACWGTGCCCTGACTCATGGTAGCAGGGAAAAGGCTTTTCTATCCAGCCATCTGTTTATCACTATTACTTCTGAACAACAGGCAGTTTTTACATTGAGGTATAATCAAATATAAGATGCTACAATTGCTTCACAGAAGAATGAGATGAGAACAACTCACAGAATGAGCACAGAATGGCTGGGGTTAGAAGGGGCCTCTGGAGATGCCCTATATGCAGGGGGCACAGAGCGAGCAGGGCATGAGTCCTGTGAATGCTTTGAGCAGCCCCTGCCCTGCCTGCTCAGTTGCTCTCATTCTGAAGCGCCTCTAGAATGAACAAGGCTTTGGTGGGTCTCTTTCTAATTTTAAGAATGTCTCTGGGAAATATATTTTTATCTAGGCATGCTGAACCTCAAAAAACACTGAATACATTCCACGGCCCTTAATTATCTATTAAAAATAGTTAAGAGAAACTGATCCTGACATTGCTATATCTCAATATTTACAACCACATTTAGTTTCAGAAAAGGAGCATGACATACGGATGCAGCTTGTTCCATTGTCTCTGTAGCCTTCTTTACATTTGCATTTGTAGGATCCATATGTGTTGTAACATCGTGAAAAAGTACCACACTGATGCTGGCCAAGAGAACATTCATCTATATCTGCAACAGAAAGTTATATAAAAATCAGCAATATCTAGGGAAAAACCTGTCTTTGCCCTTTATCCCCACAAAAACTACATATCATTGTTATGAAAAAATTAACAACTTTAAAAAGCAATAAAATTGAATTTCAGCAGAAAAAGGAAGACAGGCAATCATAAATTAGTGTGGCAATACAGGCGGCAGGGCAAGAGAGACTGCCGTGTAACCCTTGTGTTGCTTGGCTTATAGCCTAGCATCAGCTTTGGTGGTTTGCTGTGGTAGATCACAGCTGAAATCATCAAGACTGTAACTTGAGGCACTGAGAAACTTTGCAGGACACGAGAACAGCCTTTCCTCTGCCAAAGGTGCACACGGCTGCATTCCAGTCTCATGTCCAGACAAAGACCGGAAATATTCCAGGGGAAGAAAAGTTGCACAAGATAGGCAGGCAGGAGCTGGGATGTGCTTGGGCCACCCTGCATGAGCTTGGGGCAAGCTGTGAAGTGCTCCTGAGCGACAGCGCAGGCAGAACCACCCTCATACACTGTGCCAAACCTGCACCTGCTAATGCCAAGGGAAACCTGCAGGGACAAAGGCCTTGGAAAGGAATTCCTGAGGTCACCAGCTCCTTGGAAGAGCCAGTTAGCAGAAAGAGGCCCAATCCACACTTCCAGTTATTTCTGTCATCCACTCTTTCCTAAAATATTGATGTAAAGCAACCTAAAACAACCTGCTTGACCATGTCAGCTGTAATAAGTGAATGTTCTTTAAGCCATTAATTCCCATTCAGAGTATGCAGCTGTTTGCCACAACATGAGAAACGTGCTGTTGTCCTTACCATGGCATTGGTATTTGCCTCCGATGTACATTAGATCAAAGCCTTTATGGCATCTGCAAATGTAGCTTCCGAAAGTATTGATGCAGTGCCTAAACCGGGGACAGATCACTCTCCCAGTAGCACATTCATCGATATCTGCAAAAAGAAAGGAATAGAATTATGCTTTCTAACAGCTAAAATGCTGTCTATATTAAACTGGTTTCACGGAAGAAAAAAAATAAATCATAAAACGGCTAAAGTATTTTGGAAAAGCTTTTTTTTGATGCCAGCTGTCCAACCAGCAATAACACCCACACTTCTGTCTCCTATGCCAAAAATAAATACCTTGACTGACAAGAGATGCATGGATATAACATGTATCACTACCGTCTTCTCAGTGCTTGCTGTACAGCCCTGCAACCTTGGGACCCTTCCCCTGAGTTCAAGGGTATTCCTCAAAATACTCATCCTTAAAATGTCCACATCTTTTTGTATAAAGAAGGGTTATTTCATACCGTTTGAATAACCTTCTTTTTCCCCATTGAGCCCTGTAAGGTTACAAAGATAACTCATTTTACAGCCAAGGAACTGCCAAAAATACTCCAGCAATTCCTCTTAAAATACTCCAAAAATGTCTAAGCAAAGTCCAAGCTAATGCTGGTTAGCTTGAGGGGCATTATTTCTAGGATATCTACCAGTCARTTACCTCAAGCCAAATAGTTTTGGGCGTAACTGGCCCTTTGCAAGCCCTCCCTTGCACTGATGTGTACGCTGTAGAYGTCCCTTGCAAGAGGGCTTGGTACCTGTGTGACCTCCCGAGCCACGTGCCTCCCACGCGCTCGCTACAGGACGCACAGCAGGAGCAGGACCTGCTTGCCAGGCAGGGCTGAGGCAGACACAGGTGACTCCTGAGCAGGGTCAGGTCCCTCCTCTAGCTGGAGCTGCTGCAGAACAACTCCTGGCCAGAGAGCAAAGCCACTTGCAGCTGAAGCCTGCTGGGCGCTCAGGCCCCCGCTCTCCACTGAGGTGAGGCAGGGACGTGCCGCGCACGGCTCCTCTGGCACACACTACTTCTCATGGGCACTGCTTATCTACAGGGCACAGTTCAAGCCTTTGCTCTCCACCTCTAGCAAGCTCTCAGTCTTCAGCAAAGCAAGATTCTGCTCTGCAGGCAAACAGGAGCACTTCAGCTGGAGGTGGCAAGAGGGCAAAGCCCAGGCTGCTGCTTGAGAGAGGCCTCCCACTGACACAGGCAGAGCCCAAGTCTCTCACAGGCATGGAGGAAACGCTGCTGCTGGCAGGCAGCTGCTCTCACACATATATAGTCTTGATCACTGAAGAACAGTCCAAAAAGGAACCAAAAGAAACAAACCAGCTGCCTGGCTAAGGCAGCTCCCCAAGATGGGAGATGCAGCTTCATCCTCTCTCAGCTGTGTTTCCCACAGCCACAAGGAGTAACCTGGATCCAGGAGTTCCTGGCTGCCTGGGCTCTCCCAGTAGCCCTGCTAGCAGCAGCCCACTCTGCACTGGCCTCGAACATGGCCTCTGTCACACTCAGACCCTCACATTCCCCTCTGACAGGAGCCCAGTTTGTCTCAGGAAAGGCCTCAGTAAGAAAGAGCAAGACCCCCAAACTGAGTACTCAGCMACGTTCCTGCACACCTACTTCTTCCTATAAATTGGTCTCTTGCTTTGAATACGCTATTAATTCTTTATTATTATTATTATTATATATATACACACACAACTACTACTATGTCCTGTAACATCATCTAATTTACAAGCCATAATTTTCTACCTTTTATAAACAGAATTACAGTGGTATCATTTATCTGTCTGTGCAGTTATACATGCTAAATGTATCGGGCCAAACAGTGATCAATACCTCTGTTAAAAACTGACATAAAAATTAAATGAAAAGCACTGTAAAGTCTACTGCCTACCTTCAGGGTGAGATGTGGATGCTCTGTGCTAGTGGAAACCTGCTTTTGGMTCTTTGGCTAGGATATGCTGTGCAAGGGGTTCTGCTTAGGTTGCTGGGGTGCCTGATGTGTAGAACGTGTGGCTTGCAGCCCCATGACTCTGTGCCTACTTGAGGCGTTTTAAAGCTGAAGAAACGTGCAAGGTACTAATTTCACCGCATGACAAACCCAATTGAAAAACCCGGCAACACTGCCTCATTTACGGGTTTTTTTTATCTCTATAAACATTTATAATCCTGATCTTTACTGAATGCTTTGCTGAATTCCATTTTAATTCCTTGTTATTTACTTTATGTAATTTACCTTGTAGCTAAATTGTTTGGTTGTTCTTTACTGATTGAAAGAAGCATTTTAAAAAGAGAATGATCAACACAGAATAACAAACTAAAAATAGAACAATTTCTAGGGGAATTTCCACCTGGTAAAAATAATCATTACATTCCCAACTGTCTTCAGAAGCCTCTTCAAACTAGCATTTCACAAGCTAGAGGCAATGCACCCTTCAGTTTTCTTACTATCATCCACTAAATTCACCAAGATACATATAATGGGTCTAAGTGCTAGTCTTATGAATAYTTAAAAACACCACCAAATGTCAGCTTTGGTTACTTCAGAACACAAATGGAGTTTGCTTGAACTCTCTCTAAAAATGCATACTAGGAAGATAYTGTATTTTTCTAGAAATTTTCTACTTTAGGTACAGCTTCCTTGAATTTGTACCAAACCTCGTTCAGCTCACAATGCCATMAGTTTCCTCCAAGAACTTCTGTCGGCCACGTATACAGCAAAATTAATTGTAATTCAACTCCGTCAGCCTCCGACAGTCATTGTTTTTGCTGCAGCTGAACCCCCTCCTCTGCATGCACGCACATGCCAGTCACACAATGGAGAAGGCCCCCACCAAGTGCCTGCACATTTGAACTAGTTTGTGGCCCTTGCTCCATCACAGAGGTCCTGGTCAGCATGCATAAGCCACCTCAAGAAGCAATTGTCCCCACTGGGCAGATGTGATACCCATGTGTGCATGATTAGGGTCATCCACATCACCTTGAAACCTTTCAGTGCAAGTATGCACAATTCCTACCGGTTATAAAACTGCAGGTCTGCATATGATCGCAATAATAAAATCACTGGAGCATTGTATCCACTCAGGATGTATAGTTAATGACTAATGAATCACACGTCACACTGTTCCTCTGACCGGTATAATGTGTGGCACAATACAGTCTGATTAACCAGGAGCTCCTAACCACAATCCAGAGGTGAGRAGAAAACATTTCACTTACATCACCTGAATTTCTGAGCTTAATTTTAACTTGGGGTTTTCAAAGCCACCCAAGAAAGATGGGAGCCTAATATTGGAAGCGTGCACAAACCTTCAGCCCACCCCAATTTAATTTGGCAATTTGTATAAATTAGCCCTGCATTCCCTGAACCAAGGCAGCACCCTGCTCTATAAAGGCATGACAGAGAACTGCCCTCCCCATTCCATTCTGATACAGGCAAGTACTTGGGAGTCTCTATGAGCTAAACGTAAAATTAGCCAGTAAGAAGAGGGAATGATACGGACCAAAAGCTTTTGGGCCAAGCAGCCCTCACAGGCTTTAAGCAGAGAGTCAACAAAACTCACAGGAGTGAAAGAAAACATTAGGGATCTCTGACTTCGGCCATCTCAAACACTATTCCAGCAACGTTTTCACATTGCATGTATGATGCATTCTAAAGACAGCTGACAGACTCTCCTGAGCTGTGTTCAGTGTAAGGATGAAAACATTTCTTTTGCAAAGGAAAAAAAAAGAAAAAAAGAAAAATCTTATCGCATACCTATGCAGGTCCTCCCATCAGGGCCCAGCTGCAGGCCTGGGGAAGGACAGCGGCAGCGGACTTCTCCTTTCAGCACATCACAGCCATACTGACAGTTTGCCATTGAACATGTCAGGGCATCTATGACAAAACAAATTAAAACAGCAATTGTAGCAAGTTGTGTTATGAAATGCAATCCCTGTGAGGAAAATAAACCCTGGCATGTACTGCAAGCCCTCTGGGGCAGTACTGCCCTTTCAAAAGAACACCTTTAATAAGGGTCATTTTATCTCCTCCATCCAGACACTGAAAGTATCCACTTTTACAGGAGAGAGGGAACCTGATCTCCAGAAGGATCACAATACAGTTTTATACCAGTCAAGCAACCAACATCTGCAGTTTTAATGCCTTGATGTTTATACATAGTAGTGCAGAACTGCAGGTGTCTTGCTGCTGTGAAAACTGTAAGTCCTGGTCCCTGAAGGCAAATCAGCAGTGATTTACAGCACTGCAGAATGTGTCTGGGGAGGCTAGTACCAAAACAAATAAAATCAAAATATTTGCTCATTTTATTTAACCCAATTTCACTAGAACAAAGCAGTTCATTTTGTGCAATTGCATATTTTCCAGTGGGATTCACTTTTACTTTAGGACTAATCTTCATTTCAGACAAGTTTCCCAGGGAATCCTGAGTCCTTCCACAGGGATACTGAAGAAAAGGTTTGAGAAAAGCAAGCCACAAGCCTTGCCCTACTAGAGCACGTTCCATCTGGCATGAGCATGTAGCCATTCAGGCAGTAGCACTTGTAGCTGCCGTAGGTATTCATGCATCGGTGCTTGCATGGCCGGGGCTTCAGTCCACACTCATTCAGATCTGAAAAGAAGGATACAAAGAAAGGAGGTGGGAGAAGAAAAATACACAAAGTATTGCTAGCAGTTACAGTTCCTGAAGAAAGAAGGAAGAGCTGGCAATTAGATTTTATATGCAGTCCATATCAGCAAGTGTCCAGAACATTCTGCATAAAGCCCTCCTGCCAGTGGAGCATTTTCTTCTATCACAGACATCCCTTTCAGTAACAGCAGACACTAGTAGAAGTTTTGCCAGTGACTACATGAGCTCAGACTGCTCTCTTCTTGCCACTATCACAGCACACTATGACCAGCATCAACCTGAACAGTAGAGGAGGAGAGGCAAAGCCAGCATTACTACAAGTGCCATCAGTTGATTTTGCTGCCTGTTAATTTTATCAGGATAAATCAGAATAATCTATTACTGAACACAGTAATATCCTGCAGTTATGCAGTAAAGATGACAATAATAAAGTTAATAATAATAATAGTAATAATAATAATAAAAACTATTCACAAATCCTGTCAGCAGGTAGTTTTTCAAGTAAATTACTGTTATTTCTAATAACACACAATACCCTGTGGAGTTTTGTTAGAGTAGCTTATTTCAAGGAACTTTTCAGACAGCCATCACTCCCTAAGCAACATCCTAGTGAGGTAAGTCTTGGCACCATACATTTAGCAGGCACACGAACACAGCACCTGCTACATATCTGCTGCATATTTGCAACTCCCCGTTTCTAGTATTTGAAATTTAGATGCATCTTGAAATATTTAGAGAGCAACGTTCTTCATCCTTCTTTTTTTTCAGGACAGAGCTTTTAGCCGCTATTCTAAAAGCTGCAAGTATTTCTCCTTTCATTATGACTGACACAACGTAGGGAAATTGGAAGCAAAATAAATCGTGCTCCATCTTTGCTAAAATATTAGTGACAACACATTCAAAATTTTTGTTAAATGAATGTCACTTAAATTCAGCAATTGTTAAATTTTGCTTACAATTCATGAAAGTATCTTCACTGAGCCCMAGCTAATGACTATTTTGAGATTCAGAGGCAATAATAATTTTGAATTTAAAGAAAAAGTTTCTTAGTTTAAGTTATAACTTAAAGTCATTTTCCAGATTTGCACAAAACCCATCACTTCACAAAATAAATGCAAAACAGAATTACATATAAAATACTTAAGTAGAAAGTTGAATAACATAATGATTTATGACTGTTCTCCATTTAAAATTTTCCATCCTATATAAAGCACAGATTACATTATGACCCTTAAATAATTGGCTTCTTCCATAGAATGATACTAGACTATACATTAAACATACACTATACGTGTATCTACATATATATATATATATATAAAAAAAATATTATACCACCATTTGGTACAAAATACTTCTAGTACAGAAATTAAAGTTTTGGTGTTGATGAATAGGTGGCTATTAGGAACATACACTAATATAGTTTACAGTTCATTGTGCCTGCTTTTTAAGAAGTTATTTTCAGTGTATCATACCGCACACTGGTATAATTTGACTACATTTATCTACTTCTATTGTACTCACTTTATTCTATTTCTGCCTGTGAATAAAGACTGCCACATCAGTTTTTGACTTCTCTGATTCAAATCTTAAAAAACACTGCAAGTAAAATGCCCTTTTCTGTCTTTCAACAGCCAATTTTTTACTCTGGGCTGACAACAGAAAGCTAAGGTCACGAGGCATCAAAAACAGGCTATTAGTGCAGCTCCACTTAAATCTACAACTCACACGTCATGCATTTTCACTTTGGCCTTTTGCCTTTGACATTAGCTGTTTTTAAGCATATGGAGTSAGAATGAATGCTCCTGTTTAGGAGAACAAGGATTAGCAGTAACCTTGGCTGCTTCAAAGCAAAGCCAGCCTCCAAGCAGGCTGGCAGCTCTCTTGTCTACCTGCACGCCCCCGTAACGCGTAGCGTTGCGCTTCTGTCTGGCTATTCTGCACAAGGACTAGGGGGCACTGAAACAGCCTTGCTATCRCCGTTCAGTATCTGCTTCCGTTGGGTGGGTTTCCTTCTTCAAGTAAGGCCTGGTTTTCCAAGAACAGTGTCAAGCTAACAGTAACACTTAACGAGTCAGTTCCAGCAGCACACGCCTTGAATATATGTTGGTTTAAAAAAAGGTCAGGATACTTACCCAAAGATACCAATTGTGCATTTCAAGCAATATCTATAAAGACAACTCAGTATAAATAAAAGTGGAAGTTTCCTCTTAAAAAAAAAAAAAAGAAACCTAAAGTGTGATTTTCCTTGTCCTCACTCTTTACCATGCTTTTTCTTTGTAATACTTCTTCTGACTTAATACTCCTTCTACTGACTTAAAAGCTTACACTGGAACTACAACTATAAAACAAAGCGCTGTTAAGAATTGAACAAACGTCCATCCACCATTCTGAAATCGATAATTTCACTGCCCAATCACTTAAACGCTGCCCATAATTACACAGTCAATGCAAAAAGAGCATTCTTACCTTCAAAGTAACATAAGGCAGTAGTGTACGTACAAGCAAGCTGAGAGCTTTAGGCACTAAGGAAAGCAGGTCTGTATCRTAAGCGCAGGCTGCTGAGCACAAGTGCTTCATTTTAGAAGAAAAGCAACGAAAATGCAAACGCAAGGCAAGGACACTAGTGCTAGGCTGGCAAGTCTGCATGTGGCTTCTGTAACTCCCACTTGGACAGGAAGGCCTGATGCCTGTGTGCACCAAACAGAGAGAGCAGGGATGATGCACCACATCCTGCTGCTTTAACTTCCACAGGAGACTCCAGACTACTTTTCTGCCTACTAACTTGGATGAAGTCAAACATTCAATATCAAATTGACTACGACTGAGGGAACAGAAAGCCACTGACCAGAAACCAAGTTAAAAATTAAGCTGTTACCACTCATGCTATACTAAATGGATCATCTTTCATTCTCTGAGAGTATCATTACACAAGCACATTAAACTTGTTGGAACAGATTTGTATCACCCTATGAATTTTCTTTACAATACTTAGGTCTCACAAATCAGCAACTGCCAGATTCAAAAGTTATCAATCCTCATTTTCCTCAACTTTCAGCTTTATATGAATTCTAGTTTTGTCTTTTTCTGACCTGATAAGCAGTTTCCATTGTTTTCAGTATAGAAAGGAACTTAGAAATAAGTAAAAAGCAATGCAAGTCCTGAAAGAAGAGCAGARAAATACTAGCACAGTACAACATGTGGCACATCAAGTATCAGCATCAAGGAAATGCAGCCAGCTACTTGCTGTGCATGCCAAGGGTCCTGCAGGCGCAGCCTTCATCGCAGCCACCAGCGCCACGCGTCACGGCCACGGACCAGCTCACCCCTTGGAGGTGCCCTTGCTGCGTGGCCGTTCGGCAGGGGCAAGAGGAGCGCTTCACTGCTCTCACCAGGCACACTCGCATACGGGTGAGCAGCTTTCCAGCATGAGAAGAAGGCACAATAAAAACAAAATCACCATATCTTCCTAATACACATTAATTTATCTTTAAAAAAAAAAAAAAAAGAAAAACAAAATTAGATGCTGAAGATGCTGACAAGGTTGCCTTACAAATGTGAAAGAGTTAAACTTTCACAAGATGCTCCTGGAGGAAACAGGGAACAAGAAATGTTACAGGAGAGACGCGATATATTCTTTTAAGTAGAGTCAACCTTCCCCAGCCACAGAAAGCAACCTGCATACGGTTTAGACAGCTAACAAAAACATGGATTTTTACTGAAGTGCAAGTATCCATTTTCTGATGAACACATGTTGAAAGAACAGTAAGTTCCATTACGAGCGCTACAAATTAGGGTGCTGGCAAAGGTTTATTTCAGAATGCTCAGCAGTTTTTTTTTTTTTTTTTTTTTTTAAACTGGTTACAGCTGTAAACTAGGGTTCAAAAAGCTAGACAGGAAACACTAAATCACTACTGAGATTTGAATGCATTTTGGAGAACACATGGCCAACCTCCTGTGCAGAGCCACTGCAACTTAGCTGTTGATGCTACTAATATATTAAGAAAGTTGGCATGAGCTAATGCTGCTTACTGTGAGTGATCTACAGCAAGATCTAGATTGTCACTGCCACTACAGTGGCCCTGGAAAAGGATTAATATTTAGAGATCATCACACAGTTGAAGTTTGAYAGTTCAGCTGTGGGGCTGAATTGCTACCTTGGCTTGATCTATGATCAAAGAACACCTTTCACCAAGAATCTGAGGATCCTTCATGGCCCAGGACCATTCACACAGACCAGAAACACTCCCAGAGAGTCTCCAATAGCTCTTCTGCCAGCACCATTACTATTTGTAATTACTAATGATTATTCTAAAACAGCAGCAAGCAAGGTCAAGAAGCACATACTGAACAGGATAGCTGCTATATCAAGATACCACATAGGCTGCATTTATCCTATACAGTAAGTGGGCTTAGTGGGCTTCACAAGTCTTCCCACTGAACTAATGCACCCCATTCTCCATAGCTGGACCAGGCTGGGCCTCTCTTGGCAACCATATGTTAGAATTTCCCTCCAACAAGAGCAGGGCTCTGCATGAGCTATGAAGGTTCAGCTCTCATCCTCACATGGCATTAGCACACACAAGGGTGCCTCCCCTCAGCCCAGCAACAGCTCAAGGGTCCCAGCATGTAAAGCAGCATAGATGGGCTGTAGCCACCTAAACTAAGACACACACTAGGGCACTACAGTCAGCAAGCTTCTCAGCACAACTGCYGTGGCAACTTTGTCACTTTGGCAGATTTGTCTACCATACTTCCTCAGCATTTTCAGAAAACATTTTAAAACATCTTTTGCATTCTGGGATAACTGGAAAACAGCCTTAATGAGACATTGTTATATGTGAACATGTTTTATGCATCAAAAGCTAGGAAGTTCTGTATTGTAACACCATTCCATACTGTATGTTCTTTATACCACTACATACTTTAGACATCAACTTTTTCTCCCAAACAAACAAAAACCTATGATAAGAGAACACTTCACCTTTCCATCTTTTAATTACACAATACAAGTTTTTGCTAACTCATACAGCATTAAAAACACAGAAAGAAGAGCACAGGAATGAAATTGGTTCTAAATAAAAATACACTACTTCACTATCCAGACCTGTGAATTGTTACCCTGCTGAGAAACAGCAGTTCTAATCAGAAGATTTAAATTATTTAACCCAGATTCAGGAAAGCATGTAAATGCRTACTTCATATTAATCCCAATGACTTCTGAATGAAAGCAAACATTTTCACTGTATCYTTCCCCTGGAGATGTCATTCTCCCTACAAGTGTAAATCTCAGGATCAGAATAGGCAAAGCAGAAAACGACCTGGTATTTAAGCTCATTACCTAAGACTGCAGGCACTATACAGCACCTTGCAATGAATATTACACACTTGAGAAGAATTAGTAACACAGGAGGACAATTAACATTGCTAAGCAAGACACAATTAGCACTTCTTTGAGTTSCAAAGAACTCCTTGCGCTTACCTTGGTTGCAGGTTTTTCCAGTGTATCCTGGGTGGCACTTGCACTTGTTTGGTCCAATGCATTCYCCATGCTTGCATCCTGGCTGGCATATTGCTGCAAATGGGGAGAAAGGAAAAATATATAATATGTATATGTATGTATGTATTGCTTAATATACATATCCATGACTGCTTGGGACAATGACTTTAAAAAAAAAAAGACAACAACCTTGAATCTATCCCCTTTATCCCCTTCCAGGTGTTGGGATTCTGGCATGGGAATGGCAGTTATTTTTTATTTAGGTGGAAAAGACAAAATGCTACTGTATGCATCCAAGTCACTGCTATTTAGAACATTTCAAGCACATATCATCAAAACTGCKGAATAAATATAGTTGAAGAATGTGAGATTCTATTCTGCTTCCAGAATCAAAACTTGACAAGTAATTTCTAATTTCCCAATAGGAGCAAAAATACARAACTTCAAGAAATAAGTTAAGCCATTTCTGTTCCTCCTCTTCAAACAAAAAATGCATAAAAGAAGCTTATAAAGCTTCAATTAAAAAAAAAAAAGACTTTTGAAGAAACAGAATTCCAAGTCCAAAACTTTAAAAATAAAAAACAAACCATAGCTTTTGAAGAAACATAAGTCCAAGAACTTATTCCTACTAACCTAACAGGAATATTTGCAGAATCTGTAAACTCTGGAAAATATTTAACAGCAGAAAAATTTACATAGACATTGCCAAGTATTTTTATTATTGTGTCTTCCCATCATTAAACATTGTTTTAGCCTACTGAAAAAAACTAAAATATTTACTATGCCCTAAAATTTTGTTTATCATGATACAGGACAAAATGCAGATGTAAAATACTGCTGAGCTTAGTATTTAGGCAAGAAAGACACAAACTAGGGATAAATCAGAATTATATAACTATAACCACTCTGCAGTTAAGATGTATTATTTATCCTTCCTTTAAGTTCATTTTGCAGAATAATGTTGTCATTTGGAATTTGTAGTAACTACCACCAATTGTAATTAATCTGACAGCTGTCTATACCATAAAATTGGATCTATTAAGGATCTAATTTAACAGAAATCTGTCAGAAGACACACCAGATGTAGCCTGTACTCTAGCCCAAGCGGTTCTACAGGACTGAGGTAAACAAAATTAAAATCCAAACAAGAGATTAATTTTTCTTTTGCTTGTAAAAGAAATATGCAAATGCCTATCGGATGTTTCAAAAACCTTTCCCACAAGATGCAAAGAATCCAGAACTCGCAATTCCCACAACTGCATCTACAGAAGGATCTACAGCACGGCAAGTTTGCTGCATTTAAGTTCTAGGATACAGTTTGCCCTCTGCTATCAGCACATCCTTCTGTATGTGTGTATAGTGTGTGCACACAGACTGTGATACTCCCTAAGAATGAGACCTTGTACTTAATGCACTGCACTGCTCCTGACAGCTTTTCTTCTCCTTCCTAAATCTTTCTTAGGGAATATTTTAAAAGGCAACAGGCTAATGCAAGCTAATGCAAGATTTTTTTCCCTTTAAACATTACCTAGAAACAGGGAAACAGTATTCGGAATCACAGAAACATCTTTCCTTTAAATAGGGAAAGGGGCTGCTTAGACTACTAAAAAGAATGTTTCAAAGAGTACATCCTTGAGCAATGCTTGGACAGATTTGACTGAAAAGCAGCTGATGCATCATGCAAAACTTCCAGAGTGTTCTACTTGAAAATGATTATTGCTTCCTTTTCAATCACTATGGTCACAAACAGAAAAGAGAACTTTGTTAAATAAGATCTCATTGCACACTATAACTCTTAATTTCACAGGCGTAAATCCAGCTTCAGGTTGATGATGACAAAATAAAAATGATTGAACCAATATCATGACGCTGAACTGGCAAGAAAAAGATGTGATCTAAACCACAGTGGAACAAAAGTGACTACAAACAAGTTTGTGAAAGTCTTCATGAAATTTCAGCTCTTTCAAAGAGGCTCTATGTTGAAAGGCAGGATAAAGTCAGATAATAACATCTCAAACAAACAAAAAAAAAAAAAAATCACCCTGGGATCAGCTACTCTGAAGTGTTACACTTCCACAACGGGACTTGGGGCAACTTAGGTTAATTGACAGAGAAAAGTCCTTCTTCCCTCATAACCCTCCCCTTACTTATGTTGAGTGCAAATTAGGAGCAGCTCAGATGAAAACAGATCTAGGATTTGAAGATGAAAAAGCTTATACAATTTAGTAATGGAAATTTTACATTTAATTCAGGAATTGCAATTACTTTGCCATTAGGAATGAGATTTGTTTATCTGCAAGCTTGCTTTAATTCTGTCAGTCAACCAAGTAGGTCAAATACCACACTATAACAAGAAGCATGCATTAGCATTCAGAAATAAACAGCTTCAAACAAATGATATACAACTGCCTATAGATAAAAAGCAGGGAATGCAGGCTGTATATACATCCAACAACAGGAACTCAGGGATGCTCAAGCAATGATCTCGTCCATCTCTAAACAYCTCAGGCCCACAGTACACATATGGTCGATTCCTATCTTGTAGGGCATACTGTAATGGATAGCAGAAAGGTTTTTTAGATTGGAGAAAGTCATTTAGAATGTCTCCCAGGTCCCAAGAAGTAATCTTTCACCTAAGTGAAGGCAATTTCAGATCCTCAAAAGTCTACTGGTCAGGAATTCCTGCTATTATGATTTATAAATTTTCTGTGAAACTTCTAGCAAACTATTGCCCAGAAAGTCAGAGTCAATAGAAAAAGTTATTTTGCACATTAAATGGGTTTTTGGAAACCCACGTTTGCTGCCAAACACTGTCCTTGGAAAAAAATATTTATATAATAGTCTGTRCATCTCAGCTACTTAAATATTCTATATTTTATTTATAGAGAACAGTTGAAATTCAATACAATGTTATGATGCAAATTAATATGCATAAAAGGAGAAGCATTTTGCAATAAGCTTCACTACAAATACATTTTATACCATTTCCTATCAGGAGCCAAGTCACTCTCAACAAGCAATGAGTATACCCTCCCATTAATTCTAATGATTTTTTATATGGTGCTCAGGATTTTTAAGAAATGGGCCACAGTTGCCTATACCACCTTTCCCACAGCAACCCCACCAGGCCTAGAGAGCACCTAGCTCACACTCTCTCATCCCTAGGATGCAATAAACACTTTTGCCTCATGTGCCTTTCCTTGCCAAATGCACTAGATTCCCTGCATGSTAGAGCTCCAGGAGTGACCTAACACACCCAGTGCGGATACTGAAGAGGCAAAAGGGATGAAGAACCAAAGCTGCACTACAGATACCTTCCTGACTTCTAAAGAGTTCTGTGCGAGTGAAGAGTTCCATGCGAGTAAGGTCAGCAATGACATCTAGGTATAAAAATAAACTTTAGTCYGACTTTCAGCTTTTCTTTTAATAGTAGGCAGTTATTTCAGTTGCCGGGCATGCTTTTGGACTGTGTGGGGAGAGTTAAATTTCRTATGTTGCTTTCAGGGCATTTCTTCATTTTCCACTCCAATTATATTCTTAATACAAAACTCCAAACTCTCCTGYTCACACAGGAACACACTGAGCGTATTCACTTCTTAATACAAAGAGACTCATAACTAGTGAAAGAAAACACCCCCCAACTACTATTCTCTGCAAACTGACAAAATATTCCTCCCAACCAACTGCAGTAAAACAAATGAATTCCCTCAAATCAACTCAAATTTACAATGACTACTTTAAATGACCAAAGTAAATCTGCTCTGTGTAAGGACTTTAAACTGCTATGTACCACTCACTTCCTTACTAGGCAAAGTAAAAATGTAGGTAGTGGAGAATCACACCAGATCAAAGTCATACTCTTACAGACTTACAACATTATCGTAAGACAATGAAGTTCAAAACCCAAAAGTCTGGAAAAGAAACAAAACAGAAAAATCTTTCCACTCTTTATGGCTCTAGTTTTAGACAAAAGAGCTCCTAAGTACACTTCTTCTATAGACTAGCTGGCCACTAAACAGACGAATACTGATTTTCTGTTATATTAAAGTCAACAAAAAGCCGTAATTTCCCCCGAGAATCTTTTCTGAAAGCACTGAAACTGAAGTGGATTTCGACAGAAGGAAATCCTAAGTACAGCTATCCTGCTATTTGTTCAACTGCTGCTTATTTAAGCCATTAAATAAACTACAACTAAGCTTTCTATTTCCCAGTTCATTCAAGAGATGTTAGAAAATAAACACTGACGTCATGATCACTCATTACTGTCTGCTCATTTTATATTATTGTTTGGGGTCAGATGCAAAGAGTTGTTCCCTCTCTTAATTTCTGTTTCTTTCAATGAGACTTTAGAAGGCATTCTACAGCCTKTTATTTAGCCACAAATATAATAGAGTACTTCCTTTAAAAGACTGGCAAGAACTCACTTTTCTCCACAAATAAAATGCAGTACTTATCACCTTAATTTGCTCTGAAATTTAACTGAAGCTTAAGTTTCCTGTAAAAATAATACAGGGAATTGAAACATGAGATTTGGGTTCAGATATTTTCAAGTGTGAGAGAAAGAAGTTGTGGTAACATACACACACTGCCAGCATGAGAAAGCATGAAAAGCTTGCATGAAAGCTGAAGGCCACCTAGCCTGCCACTACTGACAGATGATGCTGCCTAAGGATGATTAAATCATYCCAAATTATTGTTGTTTAATTACTGCATAAATTTAAGAAATGAATAAACTCAGAAATTCAAGAAAAATCTTAACCTTAAAGATTTTCTGCTTGCTTACCAGGCACTGGTTGGTAAAATTCCACCTAGATGGCCACACTGCCTGTGCACCTAACTGCTCTTTTTCATGTGGGGTCAACAATCAAAATTCCACAACTTCCTAGAGTAGTATTTCTACTGATTTTTTTACTTGTTTCTCCAATATTTCTAGCTACTCCTTCAATCAATTCAGCCTTGAAGATATTTCTTTGAGGACATTTCCACATCCTGGATCTTTTACTCTGTTTTGTCTCATCTCTTAACTTCTAMTTTTTAATGAAGTTGTTTCTTACTCCATGTACATTCTTTCCTTATATGACGTCCACAAAGGGTTCCACTNGGGGGGGGGGGGGGGGGGGAACACCACACGTCCTTAAAGTCTTTAGTTTCAGCATCTTCCACTCAAATCTGCATCAGCTGACAGACTGCAGATGTTCAACCTGCCCTTGGACTCTATTTTCACCCCTCTGAAATCTGAAAATAGCTACCTGTATCCAAAACAAACTGTGCTGACTGCCCACTCAAATTGCTTTGCTTCTATCTCTCCTCTTCCTAAGAAGCATAGAGACAGAATGAATGAGTGGCTATAAGCCACAGCTCTTTAAAATTCAGTTTGCCCACACACAGAAATTTATGGATCAGCACAGAGACTGTTACATATTATTCACTTTCACAAACCTTTACTGGATCTTTTATACTGCAGTTCCAATTTTGTCATCTAGACTTACTCGTTGGTAAGCAAGATCTCTTTCATGCTGCCTCCTTCACCTCAGTCTTTATCCTGTAACCAAACAGACCACGACCTTTTTCTCCACAAAGACAAGTTGGCTTTGAAATACCTGCTCATTTCTCTATATAACTGGTAATTTTACAGATGTAAGTAACCAGACACTATAGCACACTTAGTAAAATAACAAAAAAMCCTACCTTATTCAGAATTAGCTTTATAGAGAGATTCTCCAAGGTACTAACTCACAAAATACATTACTGCATAGCTTTCAAAGATAAATATTTCTTTTTTTCCCCCTCAATCATATACAAATGCAAGATAATGCGTGAAGTTGAACCTACCACACAACAATCAGTAGGTGGTAAATGCATGTCGTACTTCAATCATATTACAGAATTACTCGTCAAAAGAACACCTTTGCTCCCCAAATAAGTGTATCAGAAGACACTCCGTAAATTTCAGTAAAATGGATTAAGGAAACTGGGTATAAATTTTGAGATAATTTGGGGTTGAACTAGATGATCTCTAGCTRTGATCATTTGATAGGTAAAACTCCTTTATTTTTGAAAAACAAATATCTTAACCAACTTCTGTAGCTAAAGGCCAATAATATTATCAGATAAAATGGTAGTATCTAGCAACTGATTTCTCAGAAATTTGCACATACATGTAACATGCATAACAACAAATGATGCCAAAGTGCACATATAAACTTCTCCCTAAAATCTACAGAACCATTAAGCAAGCAGCTCCCAATTTCACATGCACAAGTACCACATTTGCCTGGGTAAATCAGTTACTAAATCTGCACATATGAAAGTAGTAATAGGACATTAACATGATAAATGGCAAGTGGAGGGGGGAGCTACTCATTGCAGTAAATTTTTTGCTTGTCTATTCCTGCTGTCAAATGTTTTCCTAAACTGCATATGCAAATGCAGACCCTGGTTCAAGAATGCCCTGCTATTCAGACAGAACACTCCACAGAAATCAACAGGATTTAATGAAGTCAATGAAAGGTAATTAGATACTTATGCGCCTAAATGCTCTTTCTAAAAATCACTGACCAAAGCACCCAATACATATGTCCAGTTACAATTATTCTCTGGGAAATCAAGAACAATTTCACGTTCAGTCAAGCTTTTCATATTTATAGTTTGAGTGTTCATGATAATCACTTAAAGACAGGAGCTTTAACAGCTCAAATACATGCTTGCTACCTGCATCTGTCTGTATGTCTACTGAACAGCAGCCAGTAAAAGCAGGCTAATGTGAGTATCACTGGCTGCAAGGATGAAACAGAAACAAGGCATTATCTCTGTAACATATTTTATCTCGTTAACTTATCTTTTCCATAACATATAATACCCACTGGCTTCAGTGAAATAAATTCTTCATCATAGTCACAAAGCTGAATTTAATGTACAACCACATAATTGACTGCTTTTCTCCCTTTCTGAAGGCCAGTGTTCCCAGCACAGACACAACTAAACAATATGTGACAACACCTGAGCAACACCAGACTATAACTGGTGCTCATTCCATCATGCTTTAATATGCCAGATTATACCCTGCTGTAGATTAGAGGCTGCAAAGTTTCCCTGTTGCTGGAATAACAACTTGCAGTAGATAGGCAAAGCACACAACTGGGGCAGAGCACTTAAACTATGCCAAACGAATCTCCCAGCACACATGATTCAATACCCCCAAAACTAAATTAGACCTCTTAAGTCAGTCAGCTTGTAAAAGTGATGCTGGTAGCATAAACAATTTCCAGAAAGGCAAATATTTCTTGGAGCTCGATGAAGGGGAAAAAAAAGATAAATGGGTGAGGAAAAAAAASAGGAGGGAAAGGAGAAATGAACTATTTTAGATGATAAGCATATATCTTTCATTAGATAGGTGAATGGAATACAACAATGCGGTATATTTCTTCCCCCCCTTTATCTTCCCCAAGCTTGCGACTTAGGGGCCATAGCTCCAAGCMATAATAATCTTGCCAAAAGTATTTCAAGAATTATGTTCAGCTAACCTTTGGGTTGGCACCTTAGGCTGGCTATTCTCTGCCTTAAGACGTAGAAAGCTGCAAAACAAATATCAAAAAAAAAAAAAAAAGAAAGAAATTCCAGCTTTTTTTTTTTTTGCCTTTTTTTGTTTGTTTGTTTTGGTTTTTTTCTCTCTCTCTCCTTTCTTTATCTTGTAAGGAGGATGGACTTGGCTGGGATATTTATCAACTTGTTACATTCCTGGAGACTTACACATTTTCAACATTCAGAGCTTTTCTGAAATAAAAAAAAATCTGAAACACATTTACAAATTTTAAAATAGAAATACCTTACAACAGTATTTCTTTATGAGCTTTAATAAACATTGATGCATAAGAGTAATTAAATATAATGATGCAATGCTATTCTTATTCAATCAAGGAACTACTTTGGCATRTTTCACATAGGTACACAGTTGCAAAAATTCTCATGTTTCATGGTTTGAGTTCAAGGTCCAGTAACAGAAAAAAAGATTTTCTTAAAGACACAGTATCCTTTCATTAAATAAGTGTACACATTTTTAATGCTGCATATCTACAAAACTAAAACTTTAATATAAAAGCTTAGCCTCCTGATGCCAACTTAACAGTAACTAAAATGATATGCATTGCTAAGTATCTGAATATCTGCAACTAATAAAAATGCTGGCATATAAATTTAATGGTCATTTTCATAATGTTTAAATTTTGAACGTCATCTAAACTAATACCTAGAGACCTTTTAAGCTCTAACTAAAACATAAAACTAAAACATTATGAAAATAAAACAAGATGCAAACAGACCTATGTTTTGAGATCATATGAAATCAATTTATCTGGCAATAAAATGAATGTTAACAGCATAAGCTGTTAAGCTACATAACTTATAAACATAAATGACTGGGACTTTAGCTAAAGCAGTTCTTTGTATTTCAGACATAAAATGACCCAATGTTTAAGGGTCTATTTTGATTGCAACTTACACTAATAAAATTGATTTAAAATAACCAGTTAATCCCTCAGTGGCTGTTCCAAAAGCCCACTAGAGTAATACTCCCCATGTTCTTGCCGGTCTTTGAGAAGATACTACAATTGTAAACAGTCAAATCACATTAGATTTTCACRTTAGATGCTAGATTTGCAATGGAAAAACTGGACTGCAAAACTATGTATGAAGTACAGAAGGAATACAGTGAGGTTGGTTGGAAGGATATTGTGTCTTTAATACAATCAAGTCATATTTCCAGATCTGTTTTAAAAAGCTAATGGCTCAAAATCAAAAAAGGTAACTGAATAAAAACAGCAAAACCTCATTTTCTTTCTTGCATGACAATATTAAAGCAGTATTGCAATTCTGTATAAAGTATCTTTTCTTAGAAGAATACATGAAAATGCACAAAGATGCTTGACATTTTTTAACAGCCAGATATACCGCACATCAATATTTGTTATCATAGTCTATACAAGGCATTCACATTAGGCTCTATTCTTGCAAGGACAAATTTACTAGCAAAACTCTTACTGACTTTAAGGAGGCTTCCAACAATGGGCCAAAATCCCACAAGACAGTATTTTCATAGCTCATATTGACCAAGTCATGGTTTTATTTTGCTAAAGATTTATGCATCTTGAACTATACAGAATTGCCATTTCCATTTAAAGCATCATTACACGCAAGGAACAGGCATCCTAAGCAACACATAGCCTCTTTTCCCATTCATGTGTGGGAGATTTATTTGGGTAAACTCCCATCAGCATTTCTGCTGGTTGCATAAAATCTCCTTCCAGGCATCGATGAGAGCCCAGCCATCCCTTCCCGCTCCCACCATCGCACATATCTGTAAGGGATCATGCAGCACAGATGCACAGCCTTTAAGATCACAAGCACAGGAGGAGCAGCACAGACTGCAAGAGGCTCCTCATAGCTCTTGCAAGGAAGCAGCAGCATGCACAGTTTCCAGCAAAGCTCTTGGTTATGCCTGCACCTATGTCAGCTTGTATAAGCTCCCCATTTCTCTTGCACATCATCTAATAACCTCCCAAAACAGTACACATTTTACTAGGTTTGGCTCAGTCTAAAGCCTAACCAGGCAGCCTTAACTTTTTTTTACTGATGCAAAACAAAGATGAGATGTAAAGCGATCACTTGACTTACACTTTTACTAGTGTGCTATCATACTGTATAATTTCTTGATTTTTCTGTCTCTATGCTTTTAAAAACTAATTTGTCAYGATTTTACAGTGAGATGGTAGGAAACTACTTTGCCGGCCTATTCTGGTTTCTTTGGCAGAGTGCTCTGACACCTCAGCATGGGGAAATTATAAGAGTGAGTTACCACACATGGACACCCTGAAAATACACATGTATCTTTTATATGCCTTCTCAAGATATACCTTACAGATTTTGCTATCGTTAAAAGGAATTCAACATTTAGACAAGCATTCAAGTAACATAACTACTTATARAATCCAGTGGGATTTTATTCCTGTCTTATGGATCTAACTTTCTGTCCACTGGGCAAACTCCAAGTGCTTAAACAGGCTCTGATGACATTGACAGTCACACAGACCCATCCCAACAGAGGATCCAACAGTAGATCAGCATCAATTTACAGGAGCTGCAGACCCAACCTTCCATTTTGTACACATGAATGCAGCAAAACAAACTACTGCTGCCAAYGCCTCTAGCAAAGGAGTTGTCCAAACTGTAATCCAGAATGAAAATTCAAGCAGCTTTTATTGCCCTTATCTTAAAAAAAAAAAAAAGGCTCAACCTTTTAAATTGACATTAATGTCTCTTGCCACCAAATCATCTACAATAATATGAGTTTAAGTCCTGTCTGTTAAACTGCAGTTGAAATTTCAAAACAAAGGGCAGCCTAAATCTTTAGTGTAGCTTAACTGTGTATAACTGGCATACTAATGAGTTACAAACAGACATGGAGCCAAGTACAAAGTGGATGTATTTTGTCTGTTACAAGATGCTCGTAAACTAGCTAGAAGTCAGGCAGATAGACTACTAGTTCTAAGAATGACATTCAATGAACCCAGATGGAACATGGGCAAATATGACCAAAAACCAAGAAACAGTATTTTTCCTATAACACTTAACATGGCCTGTCAGAAGGAAAAAGAAATTTGCCACTTTCATATTAAGGTACATCACAGAACATGCAAGTCTCTGCATGAAATTAAATTTTAGCTGTATTTTAGCTCCCYGAGACACTAACCAGCTTGCAAAGCTCCCTCTGTGTGTATATATTCATAACAGCTGATTTCTGTACACTAGTTTGTCAKCCAGCAATAGATCCTTGGACTTGAACAGAGTTTAACCTACCTCTGACCTGCCAAAGATACGTGGACAAGGCCTAGGGTATCCTCACCTTACGGAAAGCTTAGGGAGAGAGTCATCCTCACAGAATATTCTCACAGACATTTCTTTAAGTGGATGATATGGGCTTCAGCTGGAAAATAAGTCTATCTCATCTGATAGCCTAGACTGAAGCTACAGTATGGAAATGGCCACAACTGTTTTACACTCTGGGATTGTCATTTCTCACATAGTTCACACAGAACTGCACTCCAATCCTGCCTCTGCCTTGAATTCTCTTCCACGAATATTACTGATAAGCAACACATTAAAAATAAACAAACAACAACAACAGAACAGTTCAACTAACTTGCCCAGGCAAAATTTCTCTACTAGTGCCTTCTCAGTGCATTTTCTGGAACTGAGCAGTCGGTAAAGTAATTCTAGGCACAGGAGAGAGTATAATTCTACCAGATGAAGTGCTAAAGCTCATACTGAAGGCTTCGGAAATCAGACCTAATTACACCTCCTTTGGGGTAAGAGTCTACATTGCTGTAATTTAATAAAAGGAGGCATATTATGTTTCAAAGGAAAAGTRCAAATTAAAGAAGAGGCTCAATTTTAACTTCTTCCTACACATTTAACCTGAGAAAAAGATAGCTGAGTTATACTCACTTATGTCACTAAGCGGCAGTAAGCACATTTGTGCTGTGTATACACTATGTTACTCCAAGTGACAGAAAATTGATTACTCTGCACTTCACAAAAGGAAGTTTAGCTARCCAGTTCAGTTTCCATTTGCAACAGAGTATGGATGGATGACCGTGAGAATGGAGTTACCACAGCTTAATGAGTTACCACGTGTCAGCTGAGTGACATTCCTATCCTGTTAAAGCTGGCAAGTACTCACTTAGTTCTCCCTCACAGATAAACCTTTACCTTGGAATAAACTRTTCCATCGGTTTAAGGTTACACATTTTCTTCTCAGTAGCTGCAGGCAGAAGGCAAAACTGGAGAGCAGCTAACACAGCTCAGCTGGACAGCAGGAAAATGTGCTTGAGTGTATTTGCAGTCACTTGTCCGTGGCTCATCTYGGCTCAGAAGACAGGTGGTAACACAGGGCCAACTCTGCCATGTAGCTGAGCTTATATCCTCTCTCCTTGCTGGCCCACACCACATCATGCTTGTCCTCACTAAGCTAAATTCAGAGGTGATCAGAACACTTGCAGTAGAGTATGCACGCCTAAACAGGAGAGCCCAAAGTGCTGGAGCACTCACATACATAGCAAGGATAGTTAAACTACCTGAGTAYAGCAGTTCAAGTCTGCTAATCTAGAGCCCACAGTCTTATTTGCTTGAATATTTTATAGCTACTTTTTGGACTAATTTCTAAACTGGGTCTCTGTATTCATTTTTAATTTTGACTCTGTACTGATTTTCTGCATAATATATAATGTGCATAATCTATACTCATTTGGCCTCTATAACTTACTCTAGAAACATAAAAGAAAACAGTTGCTTAGAAAAGAAAGCCTGGCCTCCATATGTGCCATTCATTACAGGGACAAGACTAAGAAGTTTGTCTTTTGACCCAGATCAGGAGAAACCATTCGGCACTTGTATTTTCAGAGATATTCCTTTGTACAGTAAAATACTCAAGGCCGCCTCTGAGGCCAGGAATGCTGCCTTCCGTGCCAGGTTAATCCTTCATACTAAAGGCCACATTCTCAAGGTGTCGAGTTGACTAAAGATTTGCTGTTTGGCTGACAACTCTAGAAAGATTCACTCTCATTAAGTGTAATTTTCCACTATATATGACATGACCGGAATTTTCACCATCCCCAACTGCAGTAGATTCTTGTTTTATTTTTCTAAAAATATTCTGGCTGCAATCTTAAAAATAGTACTACCTGATAAATTTTTAAAAAAGGTCTTCACTCAAACAAAAATCTTCTAAACTAGATGCTCCAATTCTTAGAACCTGACTGGAAAATTGGAAAGAAGTGTATGGGAAAGACAGTGCAAACTGCATTGCTTTGAAACTCTGGTGTACTTTAACACTAAAAACGATCTCATAAAACCCATCTCTCCACCAGAAGCAGATGGAGCACAAACCATGAAAGATGGACTCAAAAGCAATAGGAAGAAATGAGATTTTATCTACTTTCTGTCTTAAAAAAGAATACTAATGGGASGCGAACAAAGTGTCTACATGACTCCAAATGTCTTCACTAACAAAGTTAAAAGGCTAGAGAGTTTACTTTTTGATTGTTTTCACCTTGTTTTCCACTTTTATTTATAACTTTAAATTTGGCAAACTGCGTACCCAAATCAAACTTGGTAGTAGTGAGAAATCAAAGAATAGATATAATTGCAATGAACTTCAAACTAAACACTATTAGTGAGCTGAAAAGAAGGCCTAATATCAACTTGACTCATGATATAGGCTAAGAGATATCAAYCTGAGAGCTCAATCTAAAGAATAGCCAGGATATTATGTCCTACAATTACATTACATCACTTTACACACACACATCCCCCAATCTCTTCATATGCCTATTGAACACAGTGTGCCATTAACAACCTTGGGAAGAAGGATCTGGTTGCTGTTTACAGATTTGAACAAAACCTTTGCTTAGAGTCTACAGTTGCACCTGCAATGCTTGCTYTCTCTCCTGAAACGGCTTAGCAAAAAAATTTCTAGCTTGCATACACTCTCATTTAAAATGAAATGCTGAGATTCGGTAATTATAGTTTTATTTCCGACAAAAACTTAAAGGAAATCACTCTTGCGTGTACTGTTAAGCACACAAGCAATGATTTCTGAAACAGTGTGTGTAATTTTAAGATGCTGAGGTATGACTCTCTCCTAACCGGTATAGCTTTTACACAGTGCTGGCTGCCAGCAGAGAATGAAGATGTAGCTAATGATGATTATCCCACAATTGTATCAAAAATCCTAGAGATGCAAGAATCTCAGAGAAATTTCTCTTGATATGTGACTTGATAAAAGGATGCTGTCAGGCTCATTTATACCCTTAGATTAGGATTACTGAAAGAATGTTTGAGCTAATAACGACTGAAATATTTCCACTGACTTCTTAAGTGAAATGTCAACAATTTGTGTTTCTTTCTCAGACATAAACATTTCTGTCCTGCAGTGCATGTAACATTACACACAGCAGTATTTCATCAAGCTATTACACCAGACCATGAGGCAACACAGAAACAAAATAAATTAACAAATTCTCATTGTCTTAACTAAATCTTATTCAGTTCTTACCTTACGTTGCAATCATTTAGGGTACTGTTAATAAAAGACTGAATTGTAATCTGAAAACATCCTTTTAATAAGTCAGACTCACACATGCAAAAGCCTGAGCCTTGTAACGTAAGAATGTGTGACCTGAAGGATTTAGCTAGGTGTGTGCAAGCCTTTTCTAAAGGTGACTAGAAGCCCCAGCAGCAGTGGTACTCACGTTGGCATTGGCCCCACGCTAAGCGGGCCCAGCCCCAGCAGCAGTCGACTCTACTTCCAAACCGGCACAGCCCCGCTGAGGAGATTATTTGTCTGGGCCACCTGAACAAGACAAGTCAAAGGCGGCTGGTGAGACATTTCAAAATTATTCTGCATTAGGAGACAAAAAACAAAGAGTATGGGGGAAAGAAGAAGAAAAAAATACACTGTATTAACAACAGAACTATTAGTTACTCAGTATATCTCCAAAAATGCAAATGCCTACAGAGAAAAGGGGGGAAAGTTCATTAGAATTATTTCTCAAAGCCTGAAATAATTGACATACTTTGCAGAGTGCTCACTACTGCCACTTTCAGGTTCGCACCGAGTCATCGCACAAGTTGTAACAACAGAATTTATAACCACTGCGCAATAAACCACCATCATAAAGTTTCAGCACTCATTTAGTGCATGATATACTGACAAATTTTCTCACTGAAACTTTAGAAGAAAAACAGACTAGAACCTTCCTATACTGTTAGATGGACTGTCAATACAAAAGGAGAACTGTTATCAAGCTCACGTGCCAAAGAAAACAGACGCTGTAGCTTGAAACGCAAAGTAGTACTACAGAACAATTTTTTTTTTTTTTTTTTTTTTTTTTTTTTTTTGTAGGTAAGAAAACAAGTTTCTGACTCAATCAAGATTAACAGACCCATGACTTTTCTTAGCAATTCATTCACCTTGTTAAAAATTTTTTTTTTTTTTTTTAAAGCAAGGTGACATAACCACCGCACCTGAAGCCTCATCGCAGCTTGTTCGCGGTGCCCCAGGGAGCTCATTTATTGTTTGAAGCACGTGAGGTGCTTTGTCTTTTACAAACCTCCTGACAGCCGAGCAGCACTCCCACCACCTGGGCGGCCACGGGCAGGGAGCCGCGGGCCCGGGCACCTTTCTAGGAAGGGATCTCCAGGATGAGAGGAGCGTGAAGCCTCTACGGGCTTCCCCCCGACACCACGGGCAACGGCCGTTAACGGCCGCCGCGCGCGGCCCCTGGCGCACCCAGCTCCCGGCGGCGCGTCCCGTGCCTTCCTTCCCTCACCTTCTGTCAAAGTCGGCGGCCGCGGCGAGGCAGAGGCAGGCGGCGAGCAGCAGCCGCAGGCAGCGCGCCATGGCCGGCGGAGCAGGGCAGCGCTCGSGGCTGCGGCGGCGCGGCGAGAGGAGCCCCGCGAGCCGCCCGCCCAGCGCCCTCCTCCCCGGCGCGGAGCAGGCGCCGCCCGCAGGGGCAGCTGCGCTCCGGCGAGGGCGGCGCCGCCCCGTCCCGCCCCGCGCTCCATCGCCGCAACGCGTGGAGAGGAAAATAACAAACCCCGCAAGTAACACGGCGGGAGCGGGGCCAGCCGGCTTCCCARAGGAACGCTCCATTGCGAGAGGTGGTCCAGGGCAGCCTGGTACTTTCCCCTGATGCCCGCAAGGAAGTGTCACATCAAGTCAAACCTCATTCCTGTGGTAGCGTTACACGCTCCCTCCAAAGCTGGACACTCTTCCAAAGCATGTACGCACTCCTGAAAGTAAAGCTGTGCTCATCTCCTCAGACTGCGCTCAGAATGCAAGATTTTCTTAGCCTGTTGTGTGGCACTAACACATTGCACAGACCACTATTAACCCACACTTGTGCATGAGATATTTTGAGGTCACTAAAAGATCACATATTGGACCTCCACACYCATTGACAGGATTGACATACAAACCTCTTAAGAGCTTTTTTTTTGAAATACTTTAACAATGTCAGTAAATTTATTATTATTTTTAAGAGGGTAATTTCTCACATCCAGGACACCAGAAGGATTAATACATAAGGACAGTAACCAGGTCACTAAGAGATGAAAGGTGTATATAAGAGATGAAAGGTGTATAAAGCTCTTTCTCATCCCACTTGACACATGGACGTGCACCACAGAAGGTGCATAGGAGATGGAGAAGCTGTTGAAGAAATAATACTATAAATGCACAGTATCTTACAGAAGCACAGAAAGTACAAAAGCCTGGCAAAGAGGCAGAGCATGGAGAAATACTCTGAAGGGCTGTTCCTGCTGCTTCTGCCACAGTTAGAATGGCAGAGTAGCATCTGTCACAGCAAATTACATAAAGCTTCCTCTACAACTGTGTTCAATACATCACTATGTACAACAGCTGGTGTTTTTCCAAAAACAAACAAAAAAAGCCACAGTCTTTAACTCTGCAAAACAGTAACTGTTGTAATATGCATAGCTGTCATTCTATGTAATATCTATTAACATATAAACAACAGAAAAACAACATCTACTTAAATGATGCTTACTTACAGTTCTTAGAGACCTATGATTCTATGATATTGAGGCCTGCAGTTGAAGATATTCATTGCACCCATCTTGACAATACTGAGGCAGATAGGCTGGKTAGTCCAACCACCCCAGCTGAAGGAAAAGTGCTCCAAGACATTCTTTGTGGATGCAACCATTTCTGAAAAAAAGAAAAGTCAAAAACAGTTTCCGGAATATTCTTGCACTTGCTGGGCAAGCAGTACTAGGAAAAGGAGACCTAAACACACACAACCAGTAGATACATACAAAAATCACACCAGAATTCATCTTAAAGTTACTTTCATTGCTGCAGATAGCTGCAAATTAGACATAATCACACTAGCAACAACTATTGCCAGGTTAACCTTTCTTTGAGGGAAGCATTAGATTAGCTCTTCCTCTTGCAAATCTCCTTCYTTTAGTATTAAAATCCTCTTTGCTTTCTTACAGTATATTAAAAATATTAATGAATTAAGCCTTCTATCTAGCTGAATACTTTTTTTGAATTCCCTGTGTATTCGAGCAGAAATTAAAGAAAGTGATTTTTGCCACAAATCAAATAAATCTGTCCTCAAGTTGGAAACAGATCTTCTGTTTCCCAATTTAATATCCAATCACAAATCCATCTTTCTGGCTATGTATCTCACCCCAATGAGACCAAGCAACTTAACCACAAATACRACAGCATCCCTAGTCACTAAAGCACAGCATGCCATGTGTAAAATACATTTCACTGATTCATAGTTCATGGTGTGCATGATTGTATTTCATACTTGTAGTGCTAGTATAACACRAACACCCCTTGCAAAATGGACCAGAAGAAAAGAAGCCAAGACTTTGCTATCTATGAACCATTCAAGGTCATTTCACCCCTTTTGGTGCTAAGCAATTCCTATTTTCAACCAACTCAGCATATGTCGTATTTAATATCTCAGTATTAYTGTTATCTCAGCTATACAACAGGCAACTACTTCTGTCACTCTCACAATAGTAAGATAACTGTGAGGCATCAGGAAGGAGCAGCAATTGCAGCTAAATCAAATATTTCACCTCCTTCTTCGTAACTTTACCTGAAAAGACAACAAAGTCAGCAGAACTGCCAGGCTCTGTACCACCAAATTATTTTCAGTGTACAGATAACAGCCACACTTTGAAAATACTACACTCAAAAAGCTTCCAAACAATTTTTTTTATGGTGAATCATATATTACTAATTAATTTGCTGCATTTGCAATAGGCTTCTTTCAAATAGGCTTAATTCTTCAGTGTTATCTGTGCTGAAGTTTTCTGAATTCATTAGCATGAAATATTTTTTCTGCTCTGCAAATAAACAACAGTTTTTACTTCAAAGCCCATCTAAAGGATCTTTTGCTTCATTTTTCATATTGCATACAGCTCAAATACTCCCAACTGGCCAGGTGATCAAAATTTTACTTTGTATTTTGCATGGAGGACCAGATCAATAATCTACCAAATTTACCACRTGCTTTTCATGAGGGATTTGATCTCCTTGACTTCAGCATCATTATTGTCCACAGAATCCTACAGCATGTGGAAACCTGACTGATCTTCTCACCCATCACACAGCAGCAACCCAACCAAGGGGGCTGCAGTACAGCACAGAATTAAAAGCAGCAAGTTTAATGAGGTGCTACTTCAGTCATTTCATTCTGTTCAGCTTCATGGCAGTCAACTTTAGGTTTGATTTTCTTGGTAAAAAAAATTACTAACAAAAAGTATTTTATAACCTTTCCTTCTTTATGTGGAAGATGCATACACTTAGGAGAGATGAACAGCATTTACAAAAAAAACTTTGATGTGCTTCATGTAAGGTACTGGTCTCCTCAATTTGATGGACCCAGTCAAAGTATTACTGTCTTAAAATCACTTGAGAGCAATAATTACAAATTTTGCCCCACAGTTTTTTGCACTATGTCAACTCTTTTCTGTAGATGGAGGTAGATATTAAGTCATTATTATGACATTATGTGCAATTAGGCACATTTGGACACACAATCTCCAAAAAGCAGCTAGTATTCTTCCAGCTCAGAGGCATTGGAATGACTATCCTGAAAGACTAAAACAATCTCTGATAAAATAAGCACAGTAGATGGCTACATATGAGAATCCTGCTCCACTGTCCTCAGAAATTGAGGATAACTTGAGACATCTTCCTTGAAAGAAATAGGGGAAATAAATAAATTACATTTGTAAATAATCTCCTGACAGTCAGAATACAAGTCAACAGCATCTATTCATTCCTGTTACAGTAGGTATTGGGAGTACTCATTTTCTACAGATACCTTGCTAAAATAAGATTGTCAAATGCTAGAGAGCTGCAGTTGCAAGTTCCCTCAGTTAGGATTCTGCAGCTGGAACATGTTTCACTTTAGAGGGTTTTCTGGTACTTATTACAGAGCATGTAAAAGTAATCCAACTGTAATAAGGATTCATAAACTAACTGAAGTTTCAAATTGCATAATTGCTTTAAATCACTTAAAATAGGATTTTCTTTTCCACATTCTTACTTTGAASATGAAATATTCTTGCAAGGAGGATGATGCACCTATTTATAACCAAATGTTTGTGTGGGATAGTCAAATGCAGAAAAGAGGAATTAAGTGCTTTAGACTTGATTATCATCCAGTACTTTGGGTAACTTATCCTGCAGTCCTAATTATATCCCACATTGCAAATATGAAAACTAGGAGAAAATCTATTAGCTTTTTTTTTTTCTTCCCTCTCTCCTTTCTCTTTCCTCTTTTTCCAAAGTAAAGAGATGCCTGTGGTCAAATTACTTAATGAAAAGAATTTAGTGTGGCAGCAATCAACCTAACAAAGAAAACATGTCCATTTACAGTATTGTTTAACTATTTCTATAGTTGGTGACCGCATTAAATGGGTATTTGAATAAGAACATGCCAGATGAATAAAAAGCAACTTTCACAGGTGCCAAGTATTAGCTGTTTCTACAAAATTAGCTAAAAACACATAGCAGCAATGTGTGAAACTACACTTGCCTATAACAACAGGTCTCTTGGGCTGTTTTGRTTGTCTGGTTTATTCTAAGAGATTATGTTTAAGAAAGAAGTGTCAATAAAATACACCAGAGGTTACCGATATTATGTAAGCCAAGCCTATGTTGAACCACAGCAACACACATATCATAGCTCAGARACTGTAACACAGCAGGTATATGAAAAACAGTATCTGTTCATGAATTAAATCTCCAGTTTATACTGAGGTAGGTGAAAAATAACGTTAGCTATTAAAAAACTGTAATAACCAGAAGCTGCACAGTTCAATAACCTTTCAGTAATTTCAGAATAAACTGAATAAAAGGTAATTAAGTCAGCCACTGCTGACCTCAATTTTAAGAGCCTTGACAAATAAAAACACCTGGGATTTGCAACAGYGAATCAGAACTTTGATTTTTCTAGTTTCTGACAGCAGTCCAGATTGGAGGCCTCAGAGGAAGGAGCTGGGATCTTTTCAGCAGTTGGCTGAAAGGTGCTGGCTTAAGTTCTGAAAGAGGTCTCCATCTTGACAATTACTTCCTACTGGCTGCTGCAATCACAGATAATGCCTTTATCCTCGTATAAAAAGAAAGAAAATACTTCAAATTTGGGTTTTAATCTTGGCTCAGGATAGCTCATCACCAGAAATTCCATTGACTAAATGCACATGCCACAAAAAATATGCATACGAGAAATATGATGGCTTAACTTCGCAAACTCWGCAAACTTATCCGTGCACCAGAGGTCTAAGTCATTCAATCCTAAATTGGTTTTGTTGCCCCTGGCCACTATCTTTGTATTTGCTCTGCAAAATAGCAGAATTCTTTGCATAT